TCACCCAAGGTCACCTTGGAAGCCTCAGGCAGAGGCACATGTGAACCCAGGCAGTCTGAACACCATCATTTTTGCTTCTTTCCAGCGCTCTCACAAGAGGAATCCGTATCTGCACTGAACACCAACTCTGTAGCTCCACTTGTGGCTTTCAGTCTGGATAATATTCAGTAAGACATTCCTCGCATTGACAAACCAAATAATCTTTGTATACTTACTTTCTAACATTTGATTAATCTTCTTGCATTTCAGTAATATCTAATGAGTTCTGCATACTGTACAAGCAACTAAGACAAAAGCTTTACAGCTCCAGAGCTTGAAACCAAACCTCCCTTTTCTCTGCAGGGTAAATGCTTCAGATTTCTCAGTTACCTACACTTTTTTTTTATTTTTTTAAATATGTAATGTTGTGGTCTGTGTCAATAAAACCCAATTTACTACTATTACAACGATTAAATAAATTGTGCTAGCTGCCCCCTCCCATGAAGTAGCACTTCTGGGCTCAAGATTATGTCTCATATTTTCTGTGTTGATAGAAAAACAAAATAAAACAAAAAACCTCTCAACTTATTTTGGGCTCAATCCACCGCTTGCTAAAATGCACAGAAAATCTTAAAGGATCTCTCTGAGGAGAGGTCAACACATATTTTCCTTCTATATGAAATACCTGAGAAGGTTCAGATAAGTGGAAAAATTGCACTGGGAGGCTGGAAGAAGTCAGGGAATGGCAGATACAGACAGCTCCCCAAAGAGACTCAGTCTTCCCAATTTGTGTCCTAGAGCATCAGCTGAATCCTCAGGTACAAAGGATCAGGGGGGCAGCAAGGTGGCTGAACACTTGCCAGTCTTCCTGCTACACTGAATTTTGAGACGAGGTCTTTACCAGGCTACCAATTAGAGCAGCCCCATGTTTACTTCATATTCTCAGGTGGGTGTCAGAAGCAGTTTTGGGGAGCTGGGCACTAATGATGCTTTACGCTAGCAGGTCAATTTAAAGCATTCACTTTAGCCTGTGTCTGGGCTTCAATTTGACACCAGGATTATCAACCTGAAATGATGAATTGCACCATCAAACCAGCTTTGGGCAAATTTACACTGAAATATCATCTGGAATTGATAATGTACAATGGGAAAAAAAAAGAAAAAAAAAAAGAGAGAACTTGTATTTCTTTAGTGTCAATATTTTACCAAGCTTAAATGTAGAAGGCTGGCTCCACTAGGATCATAATTTGGATACAGCCTAGCTAACTGCCCTCCCCCAAAGAAACAAATCAACAAAAGCAAGTGTAGCTTCTAGCCTTTACTGAGTGCAACAGAGAGCATCGTTTTCATGTGATCTGTTAAACTGTGCTTGAACCAAATAGAAAGCTGGAGACAAAAACATACGACAAAAGGTAATCGTGTCACTTAATACATATTGGATGACATGAACATCCTGGAGCGGGAGCACAAAGTAAGGAACTGAAGACAATAGAATTTTATTAGGCTCTTTGACTTAAATCTGTAGCACAGAACCAATATGTTTTGAGTAAGTTCCAATTTTAAAATACATTAACTTTTTAATGGAGAATATAGCTGGGAATCTGCGGTTCTGATGTTCCTGGAAATAATGCTGGATATGTAAGCCTCCTTTTAAGGAAAAAAAAACCCAAAACTTTGATCTTTCATTGTATGAGCAAAGATACAGCATCATTCACATGCTGAAAGGCTTGAATTCTCCCATCAAAACGCATGCAAAGAGAATTGAAAACCTCTCAAGGCTCATGAAAATTCTCATCCCTTAGGGGAAGCCAAGAACACTGCTAGGTACTCTGACGGAGGTGAGCTCTGAAAGCTTCTGGAGATCCTCTCTTTCCAACAGACCTGAAATTCTGGGAAGGGAGAGAGAAAGCCTTGGGATGCGTTCTCACATTGTTAATCCCAACACCCACAAGACCTGTGAACAGCTGTCTGCTTACCAGAAAGTTTACTGAAAGGGTGAGCAGTCCTTACGTTTCCTTTCTGTTGCCTTTTCCTGCATTCTCCAATTCTTTAATGCCCCATTTCTCACCCCCCCAGGATATCGGAAGAATACTTGCAAGAAGCACAAATTATGGCAAAGAACATGGCTCCAGAAGGAATAAGACAGGGATGAAGAGCAAGGATGTCATGCCAACTTCAAGAGAGTGGCCTGCCAGGAAGTGCAGTGTAGTAAGGTCAGCTTCAGTGGTCCTCCGCCTCAAATCTGGCACCAAGTCATATTTGTGCAATCTGGCACCAATTTATCTTTGTGTGCAGCTTCTTAACAGAGCCAAGAGCGAATCTGACCCATGAGCTTGCTATCAGACAACAGCCTGGGCATCCACAGCAATGAGAGAAAAGCCAAGCCCCATTCTTTAGGCAGAGGAGTTATGTCAGGACTTAAAAGCAGACATGCCACTTGGGTTGAAATAGCTTTCATATCATGATGATGAGCAGCACACGGTATCCTGTGGGATAGCTTTGGAGAAAGCAAGGAGTGTGGAAAGGATCTGAACTAGAACCCACTGCAGGAGTTTTGGATCAGGCCAGCGGACAAAGGGATTTTTCAGCAGCCAGGATACGCTGCTGAAACTTCAGTTTCTACCAACAAGCCATGACAACTGTAAGCCAAGGTACCTTTTTGGTACCTGCTCTTTGAGATGGATTCGTTTTGAAATTTCCTGTGTATTTCAAAGATTTTTTTGTGAGGTCCTGAGTACTGAGAAACCACTGCCTTCAGCGGGAGCAGAATTTCCCCTTGCTTCTCTCAGACTCCGAAAATGTCATACAGTGTTTAATTCAGGAAAGCATGCACTTAACAGTGTTAATCCTGAACTGCAAAGCTTCTCCGCTTTCACGTTATTTCATGGAGGTTAACTTCTGCCCCATGCTCTCAGAGGCTCTGAAAAAGAAGCTCCCTTGCATTTGGAACTAGTACTCAAGCCCTTTAATTTACTGCACATTTTTCAGATGCTTTTTTGCTTTCTAATCCAAGTAGGCACCAAAGTTGATTGTTAAAATCATGAGGTATGCTATGATTTTGGCCCAAATAAGGCTCAGCCTCCACGATACAATTTTCTGGTGAGGACTGCTGGACAAATCCTTTTCCATCCATCGATTGTGGCCAGGGATTACTTAGGCTGAATTCAAAGTCTTTCCATAGACATTCCTTTGTCATCCGGCTTGATGTTCTCCTGCACTTACCTTATGTAAACAGTATTCTTTTCAGAAGAGCTGGAGGAATTGAAGAATCTTTTTTAACACATTCTGGGTTACACAGCCATCTCGCTTTATGGAAATGCCTTTATTTCGAGTGGCTGGGAAAGAAAAACCTTTCTAACTTTAAAGAGATTTTTAGTGTATTAAATTAAAAAAAAAAAAAAAAAGAGAGAGACTGTCAAATCTCATCTCAGTTTCTTAAAGTTAACTGCAAATTGTAATGAGGTCCTCTGAACAAAGATTCTGAGATGCTTCATATTTAAGACTTAGTACACGAGCTACCAACTTCCATCATTAAGTTCAGCTGGCAAAGGCCAAGGCAACTCTTCTCGTTAGAACTTTGTTACCATTTATGTTTGAGGTGAAGAAGCTATTATGGAAATTATGTGAGCTGGGGAGGACTGAAAACTACCATTGTAATTTATGACCTTTCATCTGAGGCCAAATGTAAAGGCAATCACAACTGTTCTATATCTCAAGGCCAGCACATAGCAGATGTATGAAATTTGGAAGTGTTAGACATAAACTTTTATTACCAAATTATAAATAATTTCTACCACTTACAATGTTCACCTTTCAAGTTCATCTTGATTAAAACACACGGGCAGAATCTCCCTGATTTCAATGAGTTGTACACTGGAAAATGCACAGGTACAGTTGGAAAAATTCTGCTTCATGGAACGATAAAGCAACACCATATTTTAAAGAATGCAGTAACAGCAATGCATGCAAAGTTTTAGACCAAAATCCTATATCACCTGGATGACTGAATCAAAAAGAATCATCATTAAACAGCGTGTCTCATTTTTTCATACCCGAAGCTTTGAAACCTGCAAGGAGTCTACCGAATGGATTACACAGTTCCTTTGACAACCACTTACCTGAGCACTGGGATTTAGTGACACGGGAAATAACACATTCTTTAGGCTGTGTATTTACAGTTGTGATTACATTACATAATCTTTCTGAATGAGCAAGAGAGAAATTTTCTTTCCAGGTGCAAAACCCACTAAACCAGAGTGTTCATCAATGTGCGTCTTATTGCACGCATGCTAACTTATTCCAAACAGCACAGAAAATTGTTTCAAGGTTTATAGCAAACCAGGAAAAATTTACTAAGATGTGGGTTCATAACTCGGCCTCAAACCATAGAAGAGGCGAGCTAAGGATACAGAACTGTTGTTCATCTCTGTCTTTCAGAATGCACACGTTCGTAAGCTTAGCATTAAAAAGGAAATTAGAAGGATTTTGTTGACTGGCATCAATGAACCAAGAGACCAACAGCAGCAAACTGAGACACAGCCAGGACAGGCACCACGTGCTGCTCTGTGCCGCTCCCTGCAAGAACCGCCTCAGCTGCCCACTGCTCTGCATGCTGCGACCAGGCTTCCCTGGCCATGCAGCCTTTAAAGCCTTCGACGTTCAGCTTTTGGGGAAAAAAGTGCCACTGAAGTAGTGTTTGGGAAGGTAAACGCCTCGGCATGGAAGAGCGAACGCGAACCCACACGCTGTGCATTTTCCCCGTGTTACAAAGACGAATACCAAGGTACAAAACCGATCATGGAAATACAGAAAGAAAAATACATCCAGTCCAGAAGATTTCACAGATTATCAACGCTCGTCAAGGTACTACGTCCCTAAAAGACAAGTTCAAAACCGACACACACATGCGTTTTCCAGACGGCAGGCCGCAGCAGGGTGCGGACGCAGAACGCCGAGGCCCCGTCCTTTCGGAGCACGTGACCCCAGCCCGCTACCCGCGCACGGCGGCTCCTCCCCGAAGCGCGAAGGCGGCGCGGCTCGGGGCGACCGGAACCCGCTGCGCTTTAACGAGCGCGCCCTGCGCGCCGTGTCCCTGCCGCCGTGCCGTAGCGGCCGCCGCTGATTGGCCGCCTGCGCAGGGCCGGGCGCGCGTAGCGGCGGGTGAGTGCGAGCGGCGGCGGGCGTCGGCCGGGCAGCGATGGGGCGCCGAGCCGCCGAGAGCGGGCCGGGCGATGCACCGGGTGGGGGGCGCGGTGCGGCGGGAGCTGGGGTCGATCGCTTGTCCGCACCGGGCACCGCTTCTGCCCGGCGGGAGCTGACGGCCGCGTGGGCGCCGGGGCGCCTGCGTGGGACGGGGCCGTAGGGACAGGTTTTGTGCCGCTTTGGAGCGCGGAGCGTTACGAGTGCAATGCTGAGCGCTGAGTCTTGTCCCGCATTTACCCATAAGGGTTTGTTTTCGTCCCATTCAGATTTTCTCATGCCTTAACCGGGGCCCTGTCTGTACTGAGTGTCTGAAAGTCCGTGTTTGCGTGTTATAAAATCACAGAATGGTTTGGGTTGGAAGGGACCTATAAGACCACGTAGTTCCAACCCCTGCCCTAGGCAGGGACACCTCCCTCTGGGCCAGGCTGCTCGCAGCCCCATCCAGCCTGGCCTTGGATGCCTCCAGGTGGGGCACTTCCTTATCCAAATGTCTAATTTCACTGCTCTTCCCAGCTTACCAAGAAAAACCAAGATGAGTCTACGAAAACAAACTCCTAGTGACTTCCTGAAACAGATCATTGGAAGGCCAGTTGTTGTAAAATTGAATTCCGGTGTCGATTACCGAGGTAAGATCTCCACATGTCTGTGATTTCCTTGTTTGGAGAGGCTGGCACAGATGCACTGCTCTTAAAAAGCAAAACAGTGTGATCTGGCAGCTTGGAGTATGTGAATATAGACCTGAAAATGGTGACACTAAGGAAAAACCAAAACAACTGGAGAGGCTGATGAAGAAGAGCTAACAGATGTAGAGATTAAGGTTACCGAGACCACTGCTGTCTCCAGTCACAGTGATTAGAGTGGAAGCTCAGTTTTCTAACTGGAGGTTTGTAAAGCCAGGCTTGGATCACGCCTCCCAAAACGGCCAGGCAGTCCCCTTTTCAGTGCGCCGATAGAACACCTCATTTAAAGCTGTTCCTTTTTTGTCTTCTTCCTATTTTCCAACTCCTGGCACAGACCTCAGTCCGGTACAGCTTCAGACAATGACCTGTGCTGCCAGCAATAAGCCCACTCTTACAAGAGAGAAGAAACAGTGGTTTGTGTTCTTGGTTAAACAATTGCCTAGCCTTCTGTTGGATCAAGATTCATAGGGATACAGGAGAAAGCTCTGTGTGGTTTTTGCTCCTCTATGCCCAGCGTTGGGTTGTTTGTTTGTTTGTTTGTTTTTGTCTAGTTCTGAACACAGACCATCAGTTTTATTGTGGAACTGATCTGTTTATCTTCATGCAGTGTATGCAGGATTGTAGGGTGTTTTGGGAGCAATAAATGAAACTTGTCTGTTCAGTGAGATGTCCTTCTCCTACTCCATTTAGAGTAAGAGTATCAGCCTATACAGTTTTTTCTTTTAGTTAAGTTTGGATGCTCTTATCACACATCTCCTGTGAGCACAAACTGGGTGTTTTACTGTGGAATGATTTAAGCATTCCAACCATGCCAGAGATTGCTTCAGATAAGTTTAATTCAGCTGGCTCATCTTAGTGCTTCTTTATCCTTTGACAAGGAATCCTGGCGTTTTGACACCAGCCCAATGTGGTACAGGAGTTTTTTTCCTTTCTTTATTTCCTTCTGTTCTCTCTTCTTCCCTCGCTTGATGATGGTCCTGCAACTGGAAACCTCCACAGTGATTCCATTTGGGAAATGCACACTTCCTTTCTGTACAGAAATTTGATCATCTGTACAAACCAAACATCAGAAAACCCAGCATCTCAGGCTTTTGTTGCAGATCTATCTAGATTCTGCCTGTAGGCTACACTGCTCATCCCATGCCTGCCCCTCCACCCTCCCAGGCACTGTGCACACAGCAGTTGCCTGGTACACATGTTGGTGTGCTGTTGTAAGATGTCTTGGTTCACTGCCAAGTGCTGTATGCATCTAAGGGAAGAAATCCTGGGAAAGCACACGTGCGATCAGTTGCACACATGGATATGAACGTACAACATTGCTACATACAGATGAAAAGAACAGGTAAAATATGAGCCAGGCTGGGCAGCAACAGCGCGTAATGCTACAAGTGTCCTGAGTGTAAATACAAAGAAAAGGAAGACTTGTTTCCACAAGTGAAAATGCACCCCAGGCAGTTGAATGATAGCTTACAAAAAACCCTCAGCCCAATTTTTGTTTTGGACAGACATTTGTTTTCTATCCATCTTGAAGCACTCAGCCTTACTGGAAAGAAATGTTGTCACTTACTTGGTTTGGAAGTTCTGGTGCATTTAAAACACTTCGTTACCAGTCAGATTTTCCCCATTTATGTGGAAACGGGGGGATGAAAAACACATAGAGGAAAATAACAATCCTCCAGCCATTACAAGTTGGCAAGAAAACTTAAATTCCTCATTATTTAGTGGAAGATATTACAGTAATACTTCTGGAAAATGAGAACATACCCTAGAGGAAGATTCTCAGACTGGAGTTCTCCCCCTCCTCAAATGCAGCCAATGTAATGCACTTCTTCAGTTTTAATGCCAATTAGATTGTAAATTAGATTGTTTTTCATTTTAGTAGTTGTATTTTTAGTAGCGGTGTCTGTGTGCAAGGAAGAAGTCAGGAAAACACAGGCAAGATGGAGATGAGCAGCTTGTTAGAGATTGTTTTATATACACAACTGGCAAAACACATCGCATCTTCTGAGCAGTTCCTTACGTCCATTAATCCCCACGTTTAGTTCACTACGCGCATGTTCTGTTTGCTCATTAGTTGGAAAAAATGTGGCTGAAGATTTCAGTGTCATTTGAAAACTCTTTCCCTGTTGAAGACGATGCAGAATTTTATTTCCACAAAAATCGTACTGGCAGCCCATGTTACTCTGAGTCCATAAGAATGAAAAAAAAAACCACCAAAACAGCAGAAAAAGGTGTGTGGTGTCCTGTATCAGAAGGGTTATTTCTCACACGTCCTTGATGAGCTTTGGTCAGAATTCAACTTGTAGCCTTGTTCTTAGGTTGCCCAGTTACACTTTATGTCACAGGTTTTTCTCAGGAGCAGGGCATAAAGCAAAAGCAAGAAGGAACAACTGAACTCTCAGAATGGAAGACGTCATCTTTCAGAAGTCACGTCTCAGTGAGTTCTCCCCATCCAGTCATACGTAGAACCTGAGGTTCCCTACTCTCAGTTTAATTCTTTTAGTGCTCTCTGGGCCACCGACTGACTCACCTGACCACACTGGGGACTTTTGTTGGTTATGAATACATTTTTTTTTCTTGCACTTGCAAAGCCTTTTTGTTTAATTTAAAGATAAGCCGAAGTTGATTCACTTTTCAACTGTCACTCTCTTCAGGTGTCCTGGCTTGCCTGGATGGGTATATGAACATAGCTCTGGAACAGACAGAAGAATACGTAAATGGACAATTAAAGAACAAGTATGGGGATGCGTTTATCCGAGGAAATAATGGTAACTCCTCCTTCCTGTGCTGTGTTTACTTTTTACAACACTTCTTTTCAGTGCCTGTGCTTTTCCTCAGACCTGGATGAATGCTGTTCATTAATGAGGGAGGTTACTTTTTACTAAAGATTCTACTAGCAAAAATCACTTGCGCTTCACTGTTGAGCCTTGGAACATCCCAGTGCAGCAGGTGGACTGCAGCACACTATAAAGACGATGAGCATCCTTCCCCACCACAAGAGAGACTTGCTTTTATCCATAGGCTGATGAATATCCCAGGCTCCTGAAATGCTGCTGCGGTATCAGTTAAGTTAGGTTAAAACAGTGGGACATGCCAGGGAGAAGAATATCTAAGCATGGAAAAGGTTCACAAGTCAGATGTGAGGAGGCTTGTAGAGAAGGTAAAGGAAGCAGAGTTTGACAAAGTTACTAGGAAAGAGGGAACAAAAAGAAACAAGACCTGAACCCCATGTTACGTAGTCATGTTTTGTTCTGGAGAGAAACAATCCTCGAATGAGTTCAACTTGTTGTTTTTTCTGAAAAGTTTAGCTTGGTCCGGTAAGGTGCACCTTGCAGCCAGGCTGTCGATTCTGGGAATTAGGATTTGTTACAAAAGTTAAAAACAAATGGATGAGAGGCATGAGAACGAAGCACAGGCTAAGCGAAGAACTTAAGACATTCCACATCTAGGAGCATGATGCAATTTCAAAATATGGGCACTCAGAACACAGTCTGCACAGTTCCACTGCAAGGCAAAAGCGTTCCTACAAAGTGCATGGGAAGCACTGCATGACGTGATGTTCTGCTAGCAGCAGCCAAGTAGGTGAAAGATGTCTGCTGATTCATAGGTGCTTGTTAGCGTTGTAGGGAGTGCTTGGGATTTCCAGCTTTTGTTGACAGATCATAATGTGGATGTCCAACACCCTTGATTTCACTGCTTGAAAGGGAAATCATGCTCTCCTTGTTAATGCTGCAGGGTAGCTAGGTTTATTCTCCATCTGTGCAGTCTGCATCACCTGGAGCATACTGTTTGACTATGGATGCAATACTGAATCAAGTTAGTACGTAACATCTAAATCTGATAGCATTTCTTGGAGCCTGGACTGAAACGTTTTTGACTTTACTCACACTAAAAGGGATTAATTTCACTTATTTTTAAAAGCCGCGGAAGTAATAAGTTTTAAATAAACAGGCTTTGCACATTACTTACTGAAACTTTAACTGTACTGCTTTCTTCTTTTCACAGTATTGTACATAAGCACACAGAAAAGAAGGATGTGAAGATGCCAGAAGGAGGCTCTTCTGTATTTGTGACTCTCTCCAAATGGATGAGACCTATTTCATTTGTAGTTTATCATTCACAGGTGGCATATTCAAGTGCTTATTTTTTTTTTTTAAATAAATGTAAACCAATGTAAGCTTCCTGAATATTTTTGTTTGAAAATATGGTTTTGTTCCGCTGCACAGAAATAAAAATGAAGCATGCAAGAACGTCACAAGACTAATTCAAAGCACCAGCTCGTTTGGTGACACTAACAGTCACAGCAAAACTAATCGGTAGGTAAGCAGGTGTACAAGAACTGCATGCTGCAGCTGTGTAGCCGTGGCAAAAGAAGGGTTTAAGTAATGCTGGGAAGGGAGAAGCATTTGGTGACAGTGACCTGGCCCTGTCAGAAAACACAGTTAGTTTCAAATACCAAACTGCAGTAAGAGTCACTGGGAAGAAAAGTCAGCTGCTGCCTGTTGAATTACCCAAAACGTCTTGAACGGTGGGACTGCCATGAAGGGATGGAACAGTGACACTTCAACAGTGAGGGGTGGGGAATGAAATGGAAGAAAAGCCCTGAGGGGCAGCACTGCCTCGCTGTGGAAGTCAGTCACCAGTGAAAAGCTCTCCGCCGGTGCCCCGGCACAGCTTGCAGCCGCATCAGCACCTGCCTCAGTTCCCCACCCCTGCTTGCAGTACCTTTGTTTCTACATCTCTTCTCCACGCACAAAGGATTTATTCAATATAAAAACATTTTAACTCATACCTAAAGCTACTCTTTAAAACAGACCGGAAATCCAAAAGCTTTGATAAACGTGTATCCTCCTCAAACTGCTCACTCCTGTTCCCCTATCTGCTTACCCCCAGCCTGGTACCATCCGTATTTGTTCATTTTTAGCCAAAAAAGTGGAAGAAAAAAAAAGTCGAGTTCATAGAGTGGGGTATGTGTGAGAGGAAGGGAAATCTCTTGTAGGCAGTCAAGTTGGAACTTGTTTACATTCTGCAGCAACGCTCCCAGTTAATCAAAGAGCAGTGAGAAAAGCCAGCTCAGTTTTAGATGGATACTTGCATCAGTTTATAAAATAGCTTCTCATTTTATTTGCAGTCAGCCAAGAAATAAACCATGAGTGTTCAGGTAGTCTGATGTTACTGCACATAACACACAGATTTTTCAGGATGTTTTCTTGTTCCTCAAGACAAGGATAAAGTTTGTGATAAGGCTGTTTAGGTTTTTTTGTTTTTAAACGAGTTTTTTGAAGCTCTGCTTTATTCTGTGAGCCATCAATAGTGCCCTCTTGAATAAAGGAAATGAAATACTTCTAGTTGTGGGTGGATAAACAAGACAGCACTTATTCCCAAGTACCAGTAGCTCCAGTGCAAGTAGGGAACAGCAACTTTTCAATTATCCATGGGAGAGAATGTGGATTGCTTTTTTTTGGTGAAAAATGATTAGGGAATAATTCCAAATCATTTTGCAATTAATAGTTAACCTTTAACATTAAACACTTCAGAAGCCACTAAAGGACACATAAATAGAGATGATACTTTATAATACCCTGCAGTAATTTATCATTCTTTGACAAGGGCTTGAAAAGGGTCCAGAATGCAAGTACAAATCACCAACTTGCTCTTTTGTAAGGGACTTCTTAAAAAAGAAAGCTGTGGCTCCAAGTAAAGTGTGCAGTTTCTCATTTACTTTGTCATTTAGATACAGCTGTCAGGTTACTGCGTTCTTCCAGTCAGGGACTTTTTTTTTTTAATTTTAATGTTTATTTTTCATTTCTCTTCCTCCTGCACCTACCCACCTGTAACAACAAATTCAGCACAGCCTTTGCTTTGTCCACAAGAGATTGCATCTCTAACTTTCTAACTGCATCTCTGTTTCTACAAGGCTAGTTATGGAACAACTTCCAGTTGGGATCTGCTACTTCAAAAATCAGAGCATGGTCTAATCACATATTAAACACGAACTTGGAAAATATTGTTTGGTTTAAAATGCTGAGATTTTTGTTAATGTATTCCAGATCACGAGGTCACTATTTGCTATGCAAGGTAGGTAAGAAAATTTGCATTAAAGAAGAGCTGTTGCAATCTGTATTCGAGTTTCAAAAGTAACTAAAATTACATGTTTAATTCCCACAGTCACTGACCTTCACGTACACTTTGTAAGACTTTTGCTCTTAATGCAGACTTCAGCCCTCATGTTCAAGACAGTTCAACATTGAAGCCTTACTTCAATAGGCATTCCAACATTTGGATTGTCTGAGTTGGATACAACATCCACCTTGGATTTACTTATCGTTTAGTAGCTGTTTTAACTTACTGTGTTGTGTGTGACATAGCAATCAGGAATAAATCAGCCCACTTTCAGAGCAGCGTATGGAATGCTACTCAAAGTTGAACGCACTCTATCCCATCACCAATGCGTATGAACATCAAAGTGTGTATTTCACAAACCCCTGATGCTTACAAATCACTCAACCAAATTTAGCTCCTTATCTCATAGGGAGAATGGCTACCAATGGCAATACCATACATTTTTCTTTCTCTTACAATGCATCTTCACACAAAGACTGTATCAGATACTAACACTTATGTCCTTCATTTATTTCTTCTCCCATGTCCTAATGCTCTCTGCCCAATAGCTGTGCTTTTACCTGTAGATCAAGCACATCTAGGTCAGGACTGAAAGTAAAGTTTCCCTTAAGCAGCTTACATATGCCGGTCCATAACAGCAACTACTTCTTTAGAAGAATGCATCCGCAATTAAACAATAAAAATTAACCAACAAATGAATTGAATTTCGAAGGACAAAGATGCATTTGTGTATATGCATACTGTCTTAATGTGAAGAGATCACTTCAAGAAACTACGGCCATCCAGTCTCTGCCCCTTTCCACACTCTCAGTTCCCAAGCAGAGCAGAAACTCCAAAGTGTCTCATTGAAATGCAGTACTACAGCACATCCCCTTGCACGGCATCCTGACCAGATGTAGCAAGGCCTCACGCTCCGTGGGAGCAAAAGAAAGCATGACAGGAAGAAGGAGCCATATACTCACCATCAACAATGGAACAGCCAGAGACAAGGCTAACACTCAGGCCCCCTGTACCCTGCAGTGCCCCCATATAAAGCAAGCAAGGAATGCTGGGAGAGGATTCCTTTAAAGGTGGGTGAGCTGGGTATGGCAGGCTTTCAATTTTTCTTCTGACTTCTCATCTCAAAGGAAATCTAACGCAAAAGCATTCTGAACATTATTTATTTGAGCTATGACCATCTTTTTCGTATCATTTCAGTGACAAAACAGCCACCCAGAATCCTTCTGGGCACTACTTGCCCATTAGATCACAAGGTTCGCGCCCTTAAGCGGGGATTAAACAGTGCTGCTGTAGGTTTCAGCTGCATTGTTCATGGGAATCAAGAATGTGTGGAAGTGTTTGCAAAGCGACTCCTTAGAGCATCTGACTGATGGTACCAACGCCTGAGCTTTAATATGCCAACCCACGCCTGCAGCCAGCTCCAGCTCATTGTCATTTTTGAAAGCAAACAAACAGTAGAACCAGTGCTGTGAGTCTGAGGTTCCTGTGCCAACCTTCTCCAAAGCAGAGAAGGGGCACAGCAGCCAGCTCTCCCTGAGAGGTACCGATCTCACCCGAGGGGCTGCTGCACACAGGGTTCAGTGGTGCCAAGCGGCTGCCTGGGGCGCAGCTCTCAAGGACGGCGGAGGCTGCTTGCTGTGGGATCACCAGAGCCAGTTCTGTGTAACAGGAGCCCACGGGCAGCTCCCGCTGCCTGCGCCACCTGCCTGGCCTTGCCCTCATTGTGCAGCACGGCAAGGTGCTCTTATGAGAGCAGCCTCCAGGAGCAGAGATGTTTTCTTGTAAGAAAATCGCGCAATAGTTCAAGTGGCCAAAAGAGAGAGCTTCTCTCCTCAGGCAGGGTCAGATCTGCTTTGTGCAGCAGAACGTGGGAAAAATCCATCCAGGCTCTAATGCTATCTGAACATGTTGTACACAGCATCTGAAGGGAGACGCTATTTACTCACTGTCTGTATCCCTCTTCTTTTTCTGCCTAAAGCAGCTACCCATTTGCTGTCAGGCCTTTCTTACTGGGAGCCAGAAAAAACCCTGAATCACCCTTCTCCTCATCCCCACCCACACCCCACACACCCTCAAGTAGTTACCAAGTAAAGTGCCGGGGCAAGGGTAAGCAGAACAACGACACACAGGAGGCCAAGCCTTATCCTGTACTTGTGTTATATTAGTTCGTTCCCAACAACACCTGAACGCACCACCAAACCTCACTAAGTTTGACAGAGGAACAGCAAAAACAGCTGACTAGGGAGAAGCAGGAGGTCCTGCTAGAACTTCTACTGACCCTCCTTCCAACTACATGTCAGAGAAGTATCCCCTTTTCCCCGATCTCCCCAAACACAGAGCCACACATGTGCACAGGTCAACCCTGAGATGCAAGTTCGTAAGCACTGTTGTTCATTCTACCCAACGGAGGATTTTTCTTTTCTAGAAATCTGCGACAGAACTGTCGCTGAGAAAACAATGATCAGGGAGTAAGTTGCCATACATCCCCTTCTCCGTGTCAGCTTCCTAACAACAAAGAAATTTATGACAGGAAAAAGCCCACACTCTCTCCAGTGACAGCAGTGCCAATTGTCTGTGTCTGGGCCCCGTCATGAGAGACATGTGCAGAGCATGGCTGAGCAAAAACGACTCCAGGTCACAGCTCTGGCCAGAAAAGACTGAGGCAATGCTGTCCTGTTGGGTGATGCAACCAAAGGCTACGGGGAGGACTGTATTTCTTACTGGGAGCAAATGCCTGTCACTTGGCGTTAGAACTTGCAGCTGGGGGCTGCTGGTAGGTGCTCATGTCGTGGTGGTGACTATGATGGGATTTTTCCATCTCTAAGCAGGAAGCGATGCTGACATTTGGTTTGACTGCCACTGTGAAGCCCTTGAGTTCTCTGCTTGAGTGCAGACAGCAAGGATGAACTCAGTGTAAGGCTGTATTTCAGCCTCACTGAAATAAGTCCTGAATACCTCCTGCCTAGTCCGTGCAGTTCTCTGACTTGCTACTGAGCTGAGCAGGGCTACCTGCAGGCCTGCAGCCTGCAACCCCATGGTGCTTCTGACAGCCATGTGAGCCCTGGAGCTTGCTGGAGTGCACAATGAAGTGCGTGCCTAAGGCACAGCAGCAGCTGAAGAAGGCTGCGTGATGCTTCAGTACCACACTATAACTCGAAGACGCACATTTACCTGCAATGCTGCTTTTGAGTCTTGTCACTCCATGTCAGAATGGCTCCAATGCATTTGGTGGGTTTAGATGTTTCCCTCTGGATTGGCAGAGGTCTGGATCTGGAATTACAGGAGAGGAATTGTTAAAGTAGAGAACATGCAGGTGAGGAACATGCGAAAGAGACTGGCTCATTTCAAGAAAGGATTAGGTACTAAAATAGAATGACTTAAATATACTCTTTCTAAACACATGTAAACATGGGCGATTGCAAACTGAAATAGAAGCACTAATACAAAGTCTTTCTCTCATTCTTTGAATTATTACACCTAAAACTCACTTCTTCCACTGACAGAAAGAAGGAAAACCGAAAGCCTTGTGTCATATACTGCAATCCAGTGAATTTAAGGCCTTTTTCGGATACAGAGGAGAGCAGTCTGCTAACAGTCCAGCACCACCAGTTTCCACACTTTCAGAACAGTTAAACAGATGTTTTAACTTCACCAAAGCATGCACCAGTCTCCTCCAGAGCAGAGTGTTGCAGTGTCCTGCAGAGGCCACACCACCAGCAAGAACTCGTTCCATCTCCAGACACATTTGTCAGCAGAGAAGGACTTGAAGGCACCAAGCCTTCCACCATCACCCCTCCTATCCATAAGTGATGGAGCTGGGTGCATTCACTGCTAGAAGGCCTAGCCTCAGCCCTGAGGCAGCTCCAGCTCCAGCAAGAACCCTGACCCACTGGCCTGGTGCTGGTGGCCAGGGCTGGCCTAGGGTCTGGGCCACCAGAACAGCCTGAAGGGACAGGGGCCAGGACCAGCTCCAATAGCTCAGGCAGGGGCCAGGAGTGTCCGAGGACCTGCTGAGGGATACTCCTACAGCTGGAACCGCTTTGCCAGAACCTGCCACGCAACCTCCTGAAGTACAGCAAAGCCCATTACAGGCAAGGTGACAATGGGCATTAGCAGCGTTTTTACGGCTACGTCAATTTTGTGCTGGCATGTAGATGGGTTGTTTACGAAAACCTGTACATGACTCATGCACACCAAAGCCCATTTTGCTTTCTGCCACCCCCCGTCCTCCTTTGCTATTTGCTTTGTTTTCATTGCCAAAGCATGGAGATTTAAATGAATTTAAAAAAAAAAAAAAAAGAGGTGACTGGGATGTGAAGACGAAAACTAATGTGATTACGGCTGAATTTGGGCACTGCCAGCACGTTCCCGTGGTCAGCGGGTGCTAGCAGTAACAGCTGCTGCGCTTCCCATTAGAGGAGAAAGTAAAGAAAGACCTTCCCTGATGGGATGCATTGCCGGCAGGCTGGGGACACAGCAGCAGCAGGCGGCAGGGAGGTAAGTGAGGGGCCAGCACTGACACGGGCCCAAACCCGCACCCACTCCCAATCGTGGGTGGCTGCAGCCCTGGGGGTGACATTCCCACTGCTTGTGAGTGCGTGGGGAAGGGCACGGGAGGCAGCGTGGGCAGGACGGGAAGGGGGAAACTGTAGCCTGGGAACCTCGGGAGGAGCAGAGCTGCTGCTCAGAAGTACTTGTGTGAGCTGCCACGAGAAACCTCATCTGGCAAAGATTTGGATGTCTCTGCAGCTGGCTCCACCAGCACGAGGGCATCCCACCACTAGAGCAGGGGCAGGGGGTCTGGCCAAGGCTCCTGCGAACCCCAGAACATCTCTGGCACGCAGCTGATGGGAGCGTGAAGGTGCCCTGCTGCAGAAGGTTGAACTGCATCCTTCTGCTCCTGGCTTCAGGCTGGGCACGAGGTGTTTCGTGGGAGAGGTTTTAATCAGCCGGCAAGTTTGAAAGTGATGTAAACGGAGGTGTGCACTGGATCTCTGATTCTCTTTCATGTCTTTACATCTATTTACTGACTGAACATAACAAAATCTCAGCCAGGAAAAGCTGCACGTTGAAAAGATTAGGAAGAGCTACATTAAAAGCCGGACAGTAGGCATCAAATGTAATGCGCTCACTCTTCATCCTCATTTTCAAAAGGGTATTTTCAAAACCGGAATAAGAAAATACCCTGTCTAATCTGGAGATGTGCTTTTTGCCAGCCACCCAGCCTGGGTGATAACCAGCAGCACAGAGCGCCAAGCACAGAACTTGTGGAGTTCAGCAAGGGTAGAAGGAGTTGAGCTGAGTCATCAGCATGCCCACACAGGGCCTTATCCTCCTGCTAAATATGAATTACTGGAGCAAGCCTCTGCCAGACATTTACCCCTTCGGATGACTTCACTAGAAACATGTCCTCTGGCAGTGTCTTTTCCTTCCCAACCTCAACAATGAGCATCCAAATGTGGAAACCTGTGGATTCCCAAAAAGGATCCACGTGCCATGGGGACCATTTATTCCTCTTCTTTTAGAGGCTGTGGGAAAGGTCGCTCAGCTGACTGGGAGCGACGGACACCGTTCTGCAGTGGGTGCACCGGCCACGTCCCCGCGCATCATGGAGGAGAGGCAGAAGATCTGCCCGGCGGTGGCTGCCTGTGTGAGCACCGTGCTCTGCCTGGTCTCGTCCACATCTGCCTTCTCGCACGGCGCCGGCCCCTCTGCCTGCACTGACATGATGCCCAGGCACCTGCGGGCTCAGCTGCACAGCCCCACCAACAACTACGTTACCGTCCACACCAACGTGTCCTTCTACGTCCCGGGAGACAAAGTCCCAGGTGAGGACAGCTGCTGGCTCTGTCTCGGCCCAGTCCCACAGAAATCCCTAAAGCAGTTATTGGTCTTTGCTGGTGGCAGTTTCGCAGGCAGTCTTTCAAATCATATCCGTTTGTGACTCAAAACCCAGTGTACTGAGCAGAGCAGCTTTCTGCTCCATGCTCCTGACTCGGAGGAGCAATTATTTAAGAAACATCCGTGAATCTGAAAAATCCACACTATCTAATCGTGAGTGATGACATTAATCTTAGAGAGGGATGGGAAGAGGGACACCATCCTCACGGCACAGCTCCAGGTGCGTTATGCCATATCTCATCACTAGAAAATGAATGTATTCACAGAGAGATCCCGTCTGCAGTGCTTTGCCTCAAGCTTTCTCAGGTGGTGCCTGGCCCCAGATCCCCACCGTGCTACACATCAGAGACAGCTGGCAGGTTCGTGTGCTTTGGGTGGGATTTATCTATGTGCCTCTCACCCGTACAGAACCCCCATGCAGTGGCACGTGAGGCGCCTGCAGAGGGCGAGCCACCCCCTCTGCTGTCACCCTGTGAGCGATGGGCTCTCCTGAGGGCACGAGGGCTGATTGCCTAGGCTGCAGACAGAGCTGAGAGGCACCATCCTCCAGCCCAGCCAATTTCCCTTTCCATCCCCATCCAAAATAACTCTCCTTCAAGGGCAGCATGCAATCATCTGTGTGTGTGCAGTGTGGTACCCAAATCTCTCCTTAAAGGTGGCTGCATACTGCCTAGTGCAACGTGGTTAGCATTACAATCTAGGAGGAAGAAGTCTCAAACCAACTGCCTGTGCAATTTCATACTACAAAGCGATAGTCTGGCACCCCGTATCCAGCACATCCAACACAGATTGTAAGGGCAAAGGTTGTAGGATGCTGTGGTTTTGGGTTTTTTTGTGACAAGGTTTTCTTTTGATTTCACAAGTGCCGATGGGAATTCCATCACAAAAAGTTCACCTGAGAACTGCAACACAAATCCCTTTGTGTCCCATGTTCTGCCTTGCAGTGACAGTGAGGAGCAGCCGGGATTTCATGGGCTTTTTGCTTCAAGCTCGCAAAGTGTCTAACGATGAAACTGCTGGCACATTTGTCTTCATTCCTCCTGGCTCCAAGCTGCTGTCTTGCTTTGAAGACGGTGATACTGTCACCCACTCGGACAAGTCCCTGAAGAGAAACCTGTCCTTTGTATGGAAAGCGCCGGACCAACCCATTGGAGACATCAGATTTTTGTAAGAACACGTCAGTCCCTGACAGAGTTGCTGTCCTCGCACTTTCAGTCTTTCTCGTCTTTCAGCTTTCACAAATTTGGTTGCATTTTTCCATTGTACTTTCCTAGCATGGTGGTGGGAAGTCTCTTGAATCCTCTAGAGCTGAACGCTTATGAAATCCTGCAACAGCATCCCAGCTGATATATAAATCTCCTTTTGTATCTGCTGGGCACTTTTTTTTATTTACACTGTTTGCTCAGAATAAACGCGCTGGGAGATGACAGCCTAAGCAGTTAGGAAACAGAAACATTAAGGCCTAAGGAGAGAACCGTGATCAGTCTGCCTGCTTTTCTAAATAACGCGCCCTGTAGGACTTCCCTGCCTACAGGACAATGTCACGTGCCATTGCTGTGTTGAACTTTTTTTTTTTTAGCTTACTGTTTGTTTGTTTTTCACGTTAAAGGTAAAGAGAGTTATTCCCAGGAGGACTAGGTGGGGAGCACTGGGTCAAAACCTTACATCGCTGACTTGCACCAAAGTCCAAGTGTTTTGGTTCTGATCCGGAATTAAAAACAAATAAATACATAAATCTAACTGGCTGCCTTAGAGGGAGTACAGGGATTTTTTCATTTTGGAATAGATTAAATGGTTTTGACTTTACAAAATTGCTTAGAAGCTCCTTGGCCAGATCTCTGGCTGCTCCCCTAAACGCAAGCCTCCTGCTGAGTGCTGTGGCTCGCACATCTCATCGTGATTCAACACAAAGTAATTGAAACAAAAATATTTCTGCTCAGCATTTCCATTTTGCCCACTGTTACAGACTGGGAAACACTATTAAAAACATGTGAAAAGCAAACAGATAAAAATAGCCCAAATGCTGCCATGCTCGTTCCTAGCCGCCCACTCTGAATCCCCCTGCACCCTGCAGCTGCTGCCCTCCAAGCCAGCCCCACAGCCCTTCTCTTCTCTCCCCAAGGCCGTGCCGTGCCACCAGCCACAGGCCATGTCTCCAGAAGAAACTCCGACTGCTCCCTCCTCCCTGTCCTCTCCTTGTTTCCCACGTCTGCCGCTGCTTCTGCTCACGGATTCCCACCCCTCCCGCCCCCAAATTACTTATAAATCAGTAAGCCTTGCCATAAACTTTGGGCAGATTTAACGCAGAAAGCAAACAGCGTGCGCTGTAAAGGTGATCCCCAGCCGTGTTGTAAATCCACGTTTCATAACTTGTGTTACAACATCCGAGAAAGGTACTTGTTCCATTTAAAAGTGTCTCACAAGAACCATTCAGCACACGAAAGGCAAGGTCGTTCCCCCTTTATCTCATCTTCGCAGGCATCTGAGTGATGTGAGCTGAAATCCTCCCCCAGGACGAAGTTTCCCCACGCTTGGGGACGTGCCTAAAGGTTGGCACCTGATGAAAAGCAGAGTGTGAGGCAGGTGCAAATATTGAAGGGCTCAGAAGAAACTGCCTGTGGCTTTTTCTACCTATTCTGCTGTTTGTACAAGTTACACTGACCTGTTTTAATTAGTAAATACCTCTGTTGTCTCCCTGCCTACGGAAGATTATACGCAGAGCTATTCAAAGTTTTCCAAATCTACTTCTACCAACACGGTGAATATAATAGCTTTTTTTTTCTTCATTCCAGCTCCCACACATTTTTGACTGATTGTAATTATGAGTGATCCTTCACTCACTATCTTTCATGTGGGACCTGGTATCTTTTATTTGTAATATGAAAACGTGTGACGGGCTAATCCTTTAAAATATTTTCACGCTGCCTTTGGATTAAAGCACTCCTTCTGATTAGCTGAGCATTCTGATCTTTTATTAATAACTCTGAGAGAGTAAATTCCTGCATAATTATCTTTTAACAGCATCTCTGTAGTCCAGTCATACTTTGTTTACTGGGCAAGGATCGAATCGGCCACCGTGGCTCAGCGAGGGCACAACGACACGTCTGCTGGAGGCGGCAGGAAGGCCGGCCCTGCAGCACCTGCACCCACGCAGGAACCTGCAGGCCCCCACGTAGCTGGCACAGCAAGCACAGGTACGTGGTTTGTTGCTGACAGTTTCCAGCTGGGTGTTTTTACGGCTAATTCCTTGTAACCGTTGAAGACAGAAGAGATAAACGAGCTAAAGAGGCTCATTTAACTTTTTCAGCTGCTGGTGAGATCAGTGATGGCCACGAAGAACTCCCTGATGAGAAGGCACAAATGGGCATCCTAGGTAACAGTCAGACCAAGGAGGGTACCAACAGGATAAACACTGTTGCCGGATCCTACGATTTGAATGAAAACCCGACAACGCTGCTGAAAATCCCCACATATATTTAACCTAAAATCCTAGGTCCTAAAGACAGGCAAATGCAGTTGGCAAAGCTGCCCACATACTCCAGTCATACTTTTGTCTCTAAATGTGACTGCTACCCTTCAGGCATGTAGTTGTCTGTATTTATGCTGCCTCTGGTTTGTAAAAGGCTCAAAGAATTTACTTACATTTCAGTCCGATCTGTTTCTCAGCCTTTATGGCATAGCATCAAGTCTGAGCTTTAATCATTTTACCCAAACGCCATCAGGCAGCAGGCTTTGCTTCTTTACTCCCTGTCTGGGTTCCTACTTAAAACCAAGCGCCTTAAAAATAAAATCACTGCTGTGATCCTTACTGGTAAATGCTAGCACCAAGTGCCATTTGAAAGAAACAAAGCTAAGGAAGTCGACTTCCGCTCCTCTCTTGCTTTTTGCTCTCTCTGTCTCTTTGTCTCTCTGTCTTGCTAGGCTCTGGCTCGTCTACTGCCATCCCCAGCTCTCTCCAGTACACCAGCCCAGCTCTGGTCAGCCTGACCGGCATCCCTCCAACACCAGCACAGGGTTCAAGCATTGCTGTCCACTCAGATACGCAGCCCACCACAGAGCCAACGCTGTGGTCCCAAACCTTGAGGGGTGCCTCCAGCAGGAATGGAGGGAGCAGCCCCACGAGCAGCTCAAGGCTGGAGCCATCGCTTGCCTTCCAAGAGCCAGGCCTGGCTGATGATCTGCAAAGCTTCCTCTTCCAGGACTACGCCTCCAGGCAGAGCCTCTCTGGCAGGTACTGCACCACGTGATAGCCAGGTAGTGGGAACGACTGTTTCTCCAGCAGTCCAGGGGAAGGAAATCAATGCTGGTTTTACTGCGGATAAATAAGGGTGTTTGTAAGGTGTGTGTGGCTGCGGGGGCAGGTGGGAGGATGCTTGCTTGCTGAATTTTTGAAAAATAATCCTTCAGTGACAGACGGTGGCAGTGAGACAGTCAGAGCGCAGGCCTTGCGCTGATCAGCCCAGCAGAGCTGCCCAGCCAGGTGATTGAAAAATGTGATAAAAGCTATTGACCAGGGTTGATTGCTGCAATATTTTTCTACAAGCGTGTGCAAATATCCAAAGAAATGGCGAGCTTAACAGAGCTATTTCTCCACCTGCAGGGAAAAGGAAGAAAGGATTTAAAGCAATTATGACATGTTGCCTTGAGGAGGTCTGCTCATGAAAGGCCACAGGATCTTTAATGCAACGTATTACACTGTGGTGTAAATGATGAGGCTATGACTAAATGATCAGACGTTATGGAACGCCTGGCCTACATGGCCTGTGCTGACTGTGTGTACCACGAGGCTGCTCCAGCAAGTGGCACTCTTCACAAATCATGCACACTGCAGAGCTCAGGAGTTCTGTGTTCTGAAATGGCAGGTATCGCATATTAATTCTGTCTCTTCTGTTTCAGAGCACAAAGTAGTGCCAGCACTACCAACCCACACCTGTGTGTGACGTGTAAAGATGAGCAGGTAAGCAATGAGGATGGGGAAGATTCTTTTCTGCTTTCTCCAAAAACACCAACTGCTAGAAGCTGGTGAAAATTCTTACAGAAGACGAGGATAAAACCTCTCTGCTGCTTCACAGCACCAAGAAGCAAGTGCATGTCTCATGAGTGACTAAAATTACTTTGAGGTTATTGAGCTGTTTGTTGTTGGGTTTTTTTTTAACCTTAACTGGGAATTGGTTTTTATCTCTCTCTCTTCTCTTTTCTTCTTTCCTGACGCCTGGGTTGCTAAGAGTTCCACTGCAAAAACAACCCAAAGTAACTTTTTCTGTATGCAGCCACGGCCACGGCTTCATGCTGCTGGATGTTACTGGGCTGGAAATATGCATTTTAGTCCAGTGGAAGGCTGAGACGCTCCTTTCTAGATGTGCCTGGCAGGTATTGCTCTTCACATTCACTTGGGTGAAATACTTATCCATTTTGGTGCAGGCCAAGGACGCTGTGTGCTTTTGGAGGGCAGATCCACACCACTCTGTGGACACAATAATACCAAATCCTCCTCAGCATCCTAGAAGTGGGAAGAAATTGGAAGCCTCTGTTTCTTTGCTTTTTTACAGAGCTGAGCTTTACTTCCTAATACTACTTCTTGGAGCGGCATCCAAACTTAGTCCATTTCCCCATCAGGAGTTGGCATCTCTCTCTGCCCAAAGCTCCTTGACGTCACCACCTCCTTGTGGTGTCACCGAAGGCCTGCTCTGTATATCCAACATAAACACATAGAGCTTCTATGGCACCTCTGTATTTCTCTGAGCGCTGACATGCATACAAAGAAAACAAGGTCCCTCATGTGCTCACACAAGCACACATCAGGTGAAAACAAAAGAGGAAGGGCCCATTCAACAGATAACGAAACATATTTAGAAAGGGCATAGAACAAATTAAGGAGAGACATGTAATGCGAGCATCTGGCATAGCAGTAGGGAGAAGAGAGGAAATGGCTGAAGATGGGAACTAATGGAAAGGAAGACTGATCGTGCAAGGCAAGACCAGAGAGCGTAATGAAATAAAAATACGGAAAAATTAAGCAAGAAAGGACAGAAGCAGTACAGAGAGGAGAAAAAAGGTGAGGCAGAGCAAGTTCTCTTTCTACAGCAATGCCCCAAATTCTGCACTGTATCCCTACATGTGATTACATGATGAGGTCCAGCGAGCCACACACACGCAATATTAATCTTGCCAGTCAGCTACAGTTCGCAGTTCAGTTACAGAATTTTTTTTAATCTACTACCTGTCTTTTACTAGCATCTTTCTTTCTTTGGACATTGTCTCATCCTCTGCAAAGGATGCTCTGTGACTCCCCCTTACTTTTGTTCACAGCTTGCCAGGGTTCCTACCGCAGCTTTGTGGTCCTGTCACACTGTCTTTCCAGCAAGCTTTCAAATTCACTAGTGAAAGCAGAGGGTGAGATTTTCTCTGGTGTAATTAACTGATGTGTGGAAGAGCCTGCTGGGCTGGACAGGCTGGAGAGTAGCCAGCCACTAAGGGTCAGATCCAAATCTCAGCAAAGCCAAAGAAAAGACTCCAGTACATTTCTCAGGGTTTGGATTGGGCCTCAGGTGAACAGTGGGAATAGAAAAATTCTGTGGGGGCCTCCTAAATTGTAGGATTGTTTCACAGTTAGTCTTGGATGGTATCTGCAGAAAAACCTGGACTGCAGACCTGGCTGTCATTTTGTGACTGATAAAATAAAGTGCTTGGCACTAAGGAGAGCCCCTAGAAAAGCACAGGAGCAAGCAAGAACAGTAATGTGAGCTATCACGTGTGGCTAAACAACAATGAGAGGTAGCAGATTTCAAATGGGCTGTGGAGACTGAGAAGACAAGACAGACTCTAGGGAGAAACTGTAGGTTTTATGTGACTGGTCCAAAAATGCTGATGCCAAAATGGCCTTCTGGGTCCTTCAGTTCCAAGTTTGACCCACGGCCTTTGAAGGGCTATGCTGAATTTCAGTGGACCCAGTGCGAACTTAAAGACAAATCATGGCTGGGAAGATACATCCATCCATTCAGAACGACGCTGGCACCACTAAAGGCAGGAACTGTTCATTAAGTGGTTCTTCTGTTATAGCAATGACTGTGCAAAATACCACAGCAACAGTGAGAGTCGCAGACTTGTGCAAAGCAGTGAGTGACCCGCTGCTCCTTCCTCTCTGCTCCTTCACACGCTCCCCTTTGCCCCACGGCACCAACTGCCTCATCTCCCCCAACAACTGTGATACAGACAGAGCAGTGCTGAATCTAGCTCATATCCCAAATGCTACTGAGTAACCAGAGGATGAAATAGGGTTATTCTAAGGCTGAGGGACACTTTAATCAGAAACAGAGCTGAATGACAGAGTGAAGTCAGCAGCGGATGAGAGCCTAATCAACCTCCTTTCTATTCCCTCACTGGATTTCTTGTCACGTTTTTGCTTTCAAAGGCAAGTACTGAGAACGGGGCCGCCCTGGAAACTTCCCTGCCTGCAGCAGCCTCTTGGTCTGCCCTACACGTAAGTGCTCACCTGAGTGAAGCTGCCGTGACAACAGCCTGGTTTGGCAATGAGGACACCGTCAGCAATTTGTCATCGGCCTGGAGGCAAATGGCAGAAAGCAAACCATCCCAGTGGCCAGAGGAGGGCGAGGAGGAGGTCAGTGAGGAGGTGGGTGGGCACACGCTGCCGTGGGTGACCAGAGCAGGTCCCAAACCCGCCGTCCCAGGGAGGGGGGACGGCTCTCGCAGAGGGACACGTCTGATAGCGGCCCAACTTGGCATCCTCCTCGTCTGCACGGCGGTGCTGGGGCTGGCCGCGGCGGCTGGCCTGCGCTACGTCTGTGCCCGGTACTGCCACAAGAGGACAGAAGTGTCCTTCAGCGAGCCAGGCAACAACGTCATCGCTGTGAAGGAAAGCGGGGAGATGATGCACTTCCGCAAGATCCGCGAGAACAGCTTTGTGCTGGTTCAAGCTGAGTACAACTGGATCGGCCCATCAAGCAGCGGCACGAGGAGACTAACGTAAACAGGGGCAGTACCCACAATCGTGCCACGGGGGTGAGCCAGCCACCCCGTAGATGCAGACGGCTGAGATACACGTAACACAGCCTCTAGAAAGCAGTAGTGTCCTTGCTGCCTATAGGCAGACAGACAGGTGTACAAACTCGATGCAGCTGGCTCAGCTATATGTGTTAGCCCAAGTATCCGAGCTACGGCTGCTAAGAGAACTAAAGTAACGACTGTTCTGCGTGTTACACCTACCACAACTGATATTGTACATCTGCTCATTAACTGTCACTGCAACCATTACTCTTCCTCTGTTGCTTTAAGGCTGTAGCAAAAACCTCTGAAATTCTTCCTCTGCACTGTGCTGTTGTCTCCTCTTTTATCTCTGAAAAAGCTTGTAGAGTTAAAATCCCCTTTCCTTACTAGGAGCTAGAAACCCTTGGTTTAAACCCCCATTCCCATTTAGAAGCTTACAGGTTCAGGTCTGTGCACTTGCTATGCTTCAGATGACAAAATACTTGCCAGTAGATTCAAAGTTTCAACGGGAAAATAAAACGCAGTAACTGACGAGTACAGAACATCGATCCACAGAATGCTGAATTGATCTAAGGGAAAGAAACACAAGGTGGTAGAAACCAGTTTTTGGGGAAGAAACATGCCTCCTCATCAGGTGCAAATGGAATAAAACCTTTCGTATCCATTTGCACCTGATGAAGAAGCTTGTTTAAGCCTGACAGCCAACATTTACTTTGTCTTTTACTTTGAGTCAGGCCAGTTGACACTCAAGTGTGGAAACACACACTGAGAAACACCCTTCCCAGGTCACTTTGGAGGTCCCCGGCAAAGGCCGCCTGGTAAGTTAACAGCATCCTTGTGCTCTGACTTTGTGCAAACTCTCCTCCAACTGCATGGTTTTCAGCAGGAGGCCACAAAAACAGCCCTTGGAAAACATGAAAACCTTGATGCATTCTAAGAAGGGAAGGTGATGAAAGCAAGGGCAAAGGTTTGTTTTACTGAAACTTCGAAAGAGCAAGAAATAGTTCTGACGATGATGCTCCTGAGCTGTAAACTTAAGAGTCTTTCAGAAAGCAGTGATTCCCCTCTCTGCTATCCTTTCCTATGGCGAAGGGGCTCACGTTGTCTTCCGCGCAGCCACGTGCAGAACAGACTTAAACTCTGGTGCTGCAACTTATTCCACAGGCCACAGTGCTCCCATCCCGCCAAGCTAAGCGCACACCTGCACGTGGAACAGGATCCCACTTCCTTCCTGGTGATGGGGACACCAGGCAACTCCCTGCTCTGGCAGCAGGGCTCTGCAGTTATCCCCAGCCAGCTGGCCATCTCCATGCTTCATAATCAGAGAAAGCCCCGCTCTCACCTCCTCCCTTACATTGCCATGACTTCAGTGGATACACGAGATGCTATTCTCCTGTTCAGCTTCCTGCAGTGTGAGTAGCATAGCATGCCCTTTGCTAAAAGAGTCTTCCACACTCAGAGTTCATTTCTGGCCACGCTACTGTACAGAGACTGGCGACATGAAACCTTGTAGTCCACACAGCCAATTTTCTATCAAGTAATAATAAAATAAACAAGTAAAAAAAATAAGCGTACTCACAAATGCAGACTGCAGAAATGAGGCAGTTTTAACCATTGCATTTGCTGAGAAGAGCAGCTGCACCAGGGCCCTTCCACTGCAGGGTGGCCAGGGTTTGGCGTGCTGTAATAGAAAATTTGCTTCAGGACTCAAGGGACTTAAAGTTTTCCTAGTCAGTAAGTTGAGCTAAAACATTACCTGCTAGGAAGTCTGTAGGTTTTAAGCACAGGTCCGGATGCACGCAATGGAGTTCCCCTTTTAATGTCCCTTGTAGAAAAAAGAATGCTTCCCTAACTCAGTGTAGCTGAACCTTCTAGTGACTCAAGTAGACCGCATTTAATTCATTGTTAATGCAGCCCCGAAATTCCTAATTAACTGAGAAAATAGGTCAACAAACTCTGAAATATTTAAAGAACTATCACATATTATTTCAGAAAACTTCTCATGATGGCATAATTGTTTATGAATAAATTACAAATACCTATGTCCTTTTCCACCCTCTCTCCAGCTTTAATCTTATCAGAATGGCACAGCTTGAAAAAATGCCCCTCTCCTCTCCCCAGCACTTTCCCCATTGCCCAGTACTGTTCTTGCCAGGCTGGCTGCAGAAAACAAAGGCTCTGGTGTAAAAGAAGATGTCTGATCAGGAGAGGAGCACTTCAGTGGTACTCTTGCCTTCTGCCAAACTTTACCTTCTGTTAAATTCATGCAGCTCTGGTCTTATTAGTAGGAAAAACAGTAATGGTGAGCTCCAAGGGACTCTCTCCTCTGAATTAGTAATGAGTGCTGCTACTTTGTGGACTTGGCTGAGACCGAAAGTGCTTGTGTTTCTCTCTTGCCTTCTGCATGATGCTTCGTTTATTGTCATTGCCACGACAAGAAGGATTGGGGTTTTCTCTCTTCTTAATGCTGTGAAAAACCCAAGCACTGATTAATTCATTAAGAGGCAAATCATTCAAGTGCCCCACGTTCTCGAGTGACCTGCCTTTTATTGAAATTAATCTCTGCTCGCGTTTGTAGCACATTTAGAAGAAAAAATGACAGAGCACAAAAAGAAAAGACACAAACCATTCCAAGAGAAATCAGAGCGAGAAGGGCAAGAACTTCCCTTGCAGGGTGGATGACTGTGTTGGTCACAAACGTAGACAGTGGGGGATCTTAGTTCCTCCATGCAGGTCGGCCTGGAGCAGTCTGCACCCACGTGAGGCTGCCATCCCTCAGCCAAGTGCTTGGTGCCTGAGCTGCTGGCAGAAGGTACCAAAAGGAGCTCCCACCTATCCCTAATTCACACCCATCTATGTCTGCCTCCCACCAGTCAAACAGGCGTCAGGTACAGCTTTGGCAGTGCAAACTCCTATGGCTGCAATTCTTTGGTGACGTTATGATGCTTGAGGTTCCTAACTTAAAAAAAAAACAACAAACAGCCATAATTTAGAAGCAACTAACTACTGCACGGAAATGCTCACTTATCTCTCCTTTACCTGCACGCTCATTTTCCCATCTCACGTAACTGTGATTGCTACTTTCCTCCCCTCCATATAAAGAAAAACCCACTGCCCTCATATCGTCAATCCTGGGTGCCAAACGTCTACTTCCATCACCGATTCTATCTGCTTTTCCACGGTATCAACAACAGCTTGGTTTTGCCTTTCCTTAGTGTGTCCCCTCTGACTGGGAGCTGATGCTTCCTCATACTATGCTGCAGATGCCTTATTAAAAGATTCCTAACCCAACTCCAGTTAACAGAGGATGGCAGCCCTCTGCGCTATCAGTGGCATTAAATGTAAGGCAGAGGGGTTGCATTAAGCAAAGCATTTGGCCCAAAGCTCGCTTAAATCATCATGGACATTTCCCATATTGGCTGAATTGTCACTATCAAGCAAATATCAAACACGCACTGATTTTGCCTGCTTCAAAATGTGTGACAAGACTCACAGGAGAAGTCCAAAGCTGGAAGCTTTCACCGCTGAGGTCACGAGGAACATTTCCATTGATTTCTGAAGGCCAGGATCACATCCCTGCCCCACGCGTGTAACCTAACGCCAGCTGGAGCGGTTGCCCAGGATGCGCAGAGTGGGGCAAACCCCGGCCAGCTTTGTTCTCAGCACTCCTCTCCGAGCAGAGCTGGACGAGATCCTGGGCAGCACGGGGATCTGTCACGACGGCTCGGCCAGATCTTTGGCATAGTTTCTGCAGCTACTGGAGACGACACAAACCAAGGGAAGCAAAGCAGCTGCGCCAGACTGAAACGCTCACCAAGGCCCTGCAACAAACTGAGCACTGGAGAGGCCGTGTGGGCCGTCCTGCTGAGGAGTGAGGTTCGGTCCTCTCCCTCGCCCCTGCTGACCCACTTGTGCCTCAGCCAGCTCCTTACTGTGCCGATGTACGCACTGTTTCGTAAACTAGCCATGAAAAATGCCTGTGAAGAGGAGATGCTAAAACGATTCCTGCAGTGTTCAGCTGCAGAAAGACAACTGTTTGCCAGCCAAAACCAACAGCAAAGTAATGACCTGACCCGCTCAGCAGGTGAACAGCAGAGCAGCCCTTTCATTCCTCCTGATAAGCCAGAGCCTCTCCACTGCCTCTGCCACAGTCTCAAGGCTGAGAATGAAAGCCAGCAGGTCTGGGCAGCTCAGCAGTGCCTCCTTCCTACCTTCTCCCTCCCCTTTCCCTGCCGTTTCCCCCAAGACACCACACTGTGTACAGCAGGGAAACGAAGCACCTTCCCATCAGCTATCCAGCAGGATTTGGGGGTCGCAACCACCCTGGGACCGTGCACTTATCTGTAGCCTCTCCTTAGCCTCCCTCTCACCACAGATCCATTTTCCCCCCTTCACGTCTCATTGCAGAAGCACTCTTCTCTCATTAGCATGTCTCTCATTAGCGTGACTCTCCCAGTAAGGCATTTTGTTATATGATGTATGAAGGATCATGTCTCACACCACATTTTACTGTATATTTAAGTGCATGTTTTGCTGATTTACTGCTGTTCTAGGGAACGTCTCCTTCTCTTAGCAGGGCAGGTCCTCAACGGATGTACCAGCTCTGACTAATGATTATTAGCACATCCCAAGGTTATGTACTACAATCAAATAATGTGCAGGAGGGAAAAGAGACTCCAGCTTACTGGGCTAAGGACAAAGATCACAGCTAGTCTCTGAATCTTCAGATTGCAATATCCATTACAGATTGCCACCTTCTAATGTCAAAGAATAATTTGCTGTTCAGAAAATGTGTTGCTATTTCAAAGGCAAGTCAAAGATCAGACTCGCTGTATATCAGTGTGCCGATGTACATTAGGAAGTGATGTCCAGGTACCAAGGACATTATGCTGTTGGTATAGAGGAAAAGACAGAAGACGTGACTCGCTGATCTACATTATGCAAACACATGGCCCAAAGTGGAGAAGTATTTAACCCAGTCAAGTAAAATGTCACCAGTAATTCCCAGTGCTTAATGTCACACAAACACTACATGTCAGATAATGTGGTCCACTACATGTGGTCCTCTGTGCTAGCCGCAGACAGGAAGCAGATCAACCCTCCATGCTGGAAATTGATGGGAAGAGTTAAAGCTCCAGTAACCACAAGCAAGAGAAACTCCCCTATGGGAATGCAAAGCACATTTCTCTCACAATCCTGGACAGGTAAGCGGGCAGTGCTGCACGTGGGAACTCTGCCACAACACTCCAGCTATCGGCCAAGTGAGGAGCAGGCTTTTTCCTCACAGCCTTTACCTAGATGCAGTTGGCTGCAAGTCAAAGGTGTCCAGAGCACTAAAGGAACAAAAGACGCTCACAAGTTAATTTCTAGCCTTTCATAAACTGTTTTACGAAAGCTTCTTGTTCATGCCTTCCCAAATTAGAAAGAAACTAAAATAAAATGGTGATTACCACCTGAAATGTTTCCTATTTATTTCCGACAGAGATAAAAGCGACCCAGACCAATGCTTTTGCAGGTTTTCACATTGATACCATTTTACCACCTCTAGCACCTCACCAGCAGGGCCCTGGTCTCATCCTAACTCCTAACCGTAACTAATGTAACAAACATGCAGAAGCCTATTTGACTTTTGCTATATTCAGACATTGGATCCAGTCTGAATAAAGGCAAGTCACAGCCTTTCTGTCACCCGAAACAAACCTGAAACTAGATGCTTGTATCCGAATGAGGGATGAACCCTAATGAACTGCCAAAAGAATTAAAGGACAACAGAATCATAAAGGTTGGAAAAGATCTCTATGATTATGAAGTCCAGTCACCAACCCGTCCCCATCATGCCCGCTAACCACGTCCTTCAGAGCCACATCCGCACACTTCTTGAGCACCTGCAGGGACGGTGACTCCACCACCTCCCCGGGCAGCCTGTGCCAATGCTTGACCACCCTTTCGGATAAGAAATGTTTCCTAATATCCAACCTGAACCTCTGAATCGGCAAATTAAGGCCATTTCCTCTCTCCCAATCGCTATTAAGCGGGAGAAGAGGCCAAGCCCCACCTCGGCACCTCAGGTCACTGCCGAGGGCAATGAGATCCCCCCTGAGCTTCCTCTTCTCCAGACTGAACCCCATCAGCTTTCGTCAGCCCTCCTCACCAGCTTTGTGCTCCACTGCCCTCCTCCGGAGGCGCTCCAGGACCTCAATGTTTCTCACGCTGAGGGGCCCAAAATGGACGCGGTACTCGAGGTGCGGCCTCACCAGAGCCGATCACCTCAGCCGCGGCGGCCTCGCAGAACACCTGTGCACGCTGCTGCTTCTCGTCCAGCCGAGCGCTGCCCCAAGCCGCCAGACCCTTTTCCACACAGAAAAGCACACGCAGAGCGTATCTTACCCCGCCGCACGCCTTTCTGCCGATGTTTAGGGACTTATCGCAACGCAGAGTGCGAAACTTCCTTACGCCAGCCCACCCGCGGCGGCTGAGGGCCACGCGGTGCCCGCTCAAGGCCCGAGTCGCGGTCCCGCTCCCGCCCCGCCGCAGGGCCCGGCCTGCACGGCCTCGCGGCGCCGCCAGAGGGCAGCGTTGCTCCTGCAGCTCCGCAGCCCGGCGGGACGGTGCTGGGAGAGGCGCCGCGCGCGCGGCGGAACCGAGGCAGCGCGAAGCAAAGCGGGGACGCGGGAAACGGAACCGCTCTGCAACGCCGGGCTGTGCGGGCTGCTCCCGGCACCGAGCTTCGCTCTTTAACACGGGGATCGGGAAAGGGCTGATGTGCTGGCTAGCGTTCACCGGCTCCTTCCAGTCTGCATGAGAGGTTCAGCTGCAGAATCCCCCTTAAAATAACGCAGAGAGAACAAGGAGTGGAAGGAAGAAATTAGTTTCTGCAAACAAAGAGTGCACGCTGAAACTCCCTCCGTAATTTCCTGTACTGCAGCCCCAGGACGACCATCAGTCCCCATCCATCAGCTCAGCGTCCCGATTCGACTTCTGATAGCACAACTGTCCCAGTTCCTAAGCACAGAAGGGATGAACAGAACCGCACACGCGGTCATCTGCACGATTTATCTGGCAAAGCCCATTACTTCTGTCTGGAAGCAAATTAATAATAATTCCCATCTCTTTTGTCAGTGTGAACTTAATGTAGGCCAAAAAGTCATGGGAAGTTTTCTTCAGAGGGAAGTCCATTCAAAACGGAACAAGAAAAAAGCTTAATTAAATCTTTTTTAAATGAAAACCACTCAAGGCTTGACTGTTAATCAAAAGAACATTACTTACCTTACTCAGCATAGCTGGAACCAGGAGCTGGCAGCGGCTCTTAAAAAGGATCTCTTTTGTCTTTCTTCGGTCAGCACGTACAAAAGCCTCCAGCTGAACTTTGGCTCTAAATGCTCCTTTCCCTCTGCTAGCACATTGTGCTTCTGGGATTTTGTTCAGAGCAAACATTTTGTTACTGAGACAGTGTACTCCAAAATTTGGGCTTCTGAAAAAGCTGCAAATGAGCTCCAAGCAGCGGCTCTTCCAACAATACTGTTATGCCGTCTTAAGAAACCATATAGTTGGGATTGTTTCCACTAATGCTGGAAATCGAATTGAAATTTCTCACCAAATTTAATTTTCACACATAGAAGAGTACTGCTTGCTGCACACCGGAGCATATTTATGTATAAACCAAAGCTAAAAATGCAAATGGGGTGAATTAGCAGGGAGACGGCTGTGGAAAATGAATAGCCAGACCAGCAAAGCAACCTATTAAATACACGTGAGATCTTAAACCACAGAACACAGAAGATAACTCAACGCAAACACTGTTACTCAAGGAGAGCATTTTTTCCATGTGTAATACGCACCTTACTTAAAAACAAAAATAAACAAACAAAAAAAAAAACAGCTACCTAAAAATCTGCCCCCCCAAACCGTAAGATCTTACTGTTTTTGAACACTGCCCTGAAAGACACTGTAGCTGAGATTTGGGCACACGTTCATGTGATTGCATGTAACATTATGCAGCTCCTTAGTGCCTTTACAATTAGACAGGCCCTGTGTTAGCCATGTTACCAGAGGAACTACCAGACCCCACAGGCTGCAGCACCTTTACTCTGTTGCCAACTCACAGAACCTCACACTTCTCAACCCAGCAGTCCTTTTTTTTTCCATTTGGAGGGACCAGAAAGAGAGGAATTTGTAAGCAGCCGAGGCACAAATACAGGCACGCTGGGGAGGCTCTGCTCCCGCGCTCCGTTAATGGGCTGTGGGATTTGAGTCGGGTGAGGAGAGCTGTGCCTGGTGCTCACAGCAGGCTGAGCTGGAAAGACGGGGCTCCCCACATTAACACTCCGTGAGCTGCATCAAATGGAGTTATCATATTAGCTGCCTGAAACTGTGTCACAGCTTTATTTTTAGTACACGTCTGTGCCCCTGGGATGTATTTTATTTACCAAGGAATTGGACCTAAACAGAGATGTTAACATCAGCGCACTAAAGGGCACTTCAGACAACTCTTTTTGAGGGCTGTACGTGCATTTGGGGAAGGAAAGGCAGAGCGAGTGGACGAGCCAAATGCCGTGCACGCATCTTCCTGCGCCACTCATTGGAATCACAGTTTGTTGTTCAGTTGCTCTGAAAAAGAACTGTAATAAAAATATCTCACTGAAAAGAAAAAAAGATGTAATTTTAATAAAGAACAACATTAAGAATATGGAAGAACCTTATTTAAAGCAATACTGCAGAACAGAGCAGGCAAGAACTTGCTGAAGATCTTGGCAAAAGATATCACACAATTATTGCTCCATATGTTTCACAGGCTGCCACTGGCACCAACAGCGGGTGCAAGCATTGGCTCAGGGCTGCTGATCCCGACTCGAATGTTGCTCATTGTGCAGCAGCGCTGCTTTGCACTGTTTGGCTAAGGACAGTTAAGATTCTGCTCTTTCAAAGGTGTTATCCTGACTCCAGCTTTACTTCCTCGAGAATCCTTTGATCCTCAACTGACAGCCACAACAGTGACCTATGGGCCCACGTGAGAGCTGGCAGCGCACACAGGGAGGCTCGAGTCCCAGTGAAGCATGTGTCAGGTTGAAGATAGGGGGGGGAAAAAAGACATTTTATAGCAGATTTCATCAAAAGTTCCAGGTGAAAACTGGCGGAACTGCATAGAGAAGACACCAAAAAATGGGATACAATTTTCTAACTTCTCAAGCATGAGCTGTGCAGCAGACAAAGGACACTGATCGGGAAGGACTGCTGTTCTGATGCTAAGAAATAGAGCACAGAATTGTAAAACGCTTTTGTCAATAGAATTTCATACCCAATTATTGTCACAGGACTCTCAAATTTTATTTTCCGCAATTCCTCTGGCAAAAGGCCAGATCTCACATGACCTCCATAATTTTCTTAATCGCATCAATGAAATCATCTTTCCTTCAAGGCAACCCTTTTTTTTTTTTTTTCCCCTGTTAAGAGACCTGATTCCTCTTAGAATGTGGAACCATTTCATAACTGAACAGTAATTTTTCTCTTACGGAGAGGAACATCAGCAAACCTTTGGTTTTATTACAGTCATACTTGACGGTACCCACCCACACGGGACGCTCCAGAGAGGGCTTTTTCTTGTTCATTTCATGGAAAATGCATATGTCAAGTGGCAACTCTGAACACAAGTAAGGAGTGGACAATACACACCCGCACAGGATCATCAGGAGATGGCCTCTTCTGCATGCTGCAGCGTTGAAGGATTGGCTGCCTCGCTGAGCAGGGATCGCAGCCTGTTCCTAGTCTCATTCCTGCGTTCAGTCTGGGCGCGCAACACAGAGCCAGAGCTGGTCTGGACCTACCAGGTACACTAACAATTAACATGTTATTCTAGGAGCTCTGTAGTTCTTCATTATTCCCCTTTTCAGTAAAAGCTTGCACTGATCTTCTTTGTATTTTTTTTTCCTTAGGTGATCCGAGCCCCAGCTTCAGGAAAAATACTGAAACCTAAGAAAAGTGATTAACTGAGCAAATGCTGGTGATGGGATCAACTCAGCAGAGTACTTTCCTGCAGGACACCAGTCTACCTGCCTTCTCTGCCCAAACTGTGCTCAGTAAGGCAGGCGGCAGAGAGCACTGCAATTCAAGAGCGACTGCTCACTTCTTTGTCGCTCTATAGGTCACTGGCTACAAATCTCTGCAGAAATGCATCTGAAGATATTTTGAAAATTGGGCCTCCACTGATGAGAAAATTAAGTGGTGACTCATGCTCCCATCAGCTCCACGCTTGATTACTGCAATTTGATGGCCTGAGAAGCTGATATTCCACCGAGATGGCAATTTGCTTAGGGGAGCAGCTGAGAGGCCTCATTGGCACCAATTGCTTCCAACACATCTCTCTTATCCTTTTAATCACTAGGAAATTTAATTTCACTTCTCACTGAAGATCTCACTCTCTGCTTTTCCAGCAAGAGAACAATTCAGAGGCTGATTTTGTTACCTCTGCTACAGCTCTAGATTCCAGCATGAAGCAAGCTTGCTTGTACCAGTATCTCAGAACTGTATTTTTCCTGGCATTTGATTTTCTGGTCCCTCCAATCTAAAGCACCACTACTCATGATTAGTTACCATCCTGCTGGGTGTTCTCTATTGAATGAGAATGGTAGAGGAACTGTGCACACAAGCTTCAAATAACTGAATTCAAAATGCCTCCTTATACAAGAGCTCACAATCTAACAACCACAAGTGATATATAGATATGGTTCACAAAAGCAAACTGCAAAGAGACAATTTTCTTCAGACACTGCTCCAAACGGGTGTTGTAATTCTAATCTGAGAGACCGGGGCTACCACTGGAAACAGGGGCAAGAGAGATTTGGTTCTTACATGCCAGAAAGGGCTAGCCATCTGAAATGAAGTATAGAATACTCTTCATTTGCTCTCTTCAGATGCAACATTATCATGGAGTGTTGTTAGAACAACTGCAGAGCTTTTCAAACAGATTCCTTTGGGAAAGTGCTCCGCAGCTTATCAGCCTTTTCACTGGAGATACACACGTGTAGCCCAGGGCAGAATTCAGTCTCCCATCTACTTCAGGTGTCTGAAAAGGATGGTATGCATTTCTGGCAACCTCATAATAATAATAATAGTAATACAAATGCTTTTGGATTATAACAAAATGGAGAAAGTGTCATTTAGCTCTGACTGTGTTGCAATTCCCAAATGCATCAACATCTACTTAAGTGCAAAATAACCTACAGTTTACAAATACAATGCTGCAATAGTCTGCTATAAAGGCTCTGTATGAGATCACGACTCAATGCAAAACACAATTCAGTGACTGTAATTTCATTTTTAATGTCAGAATAACATAAAAAAGTAGCTCTTTCTCCATATAAAGACCTGCAAAAAACGTATACGAGAGGCTTGGTCCTTCCTAGCATTTCTACACGTGTAACTGCTCATATCTTACGCACATACGTACACACACATAGATAAATGTGCTTGCAGACAGACAGTATTTCATCTTAACTTCTGACCTCCTGCTGGCAAGGTATTTTCACAGAAAACCGTACACAGAACTAAAAGCTGCTCTCTCTCTGACTGCCAGAGTAATTGAGAGGACTACAGTAAAACCAAATTAGCAGATTACTCCTCTTTGGTCTGTGAACAAACACAACTGCCCAGCTCCTGCTGAGACTGCGGTCCTTGTGTTGCACAACCCATTCACACTAGCTAGAAGTTACACGAGAAAAAAATGCAACCACAAAATAAAGATCCACATTTTTAAATACATAAAAAATTATTTTCTTGGACCTTACTGGCACCATCATAAGCTTCTCAAGTACTGGAAAAAAGGGGAAATGCCATTTTTGAGAGACTCAACACAACTTACAAAGACTCCCTGTGAGCTCTCAAGTATCGCTTTATTGTCTTGGTGGGTTTTTTTCCCTCTGATATAATTAAATGGGATTATAGATATGTGGAAGCTAAGAAACATCTACGATTAAGAAAATCCTAATGTTTTATATACAGAGTTCTCACTTGCCATCAGTTCTGCCTGACAACATTAATCACCAACTCTCAGTTAAATCTAAGGCTAAAAAAAACTACTTTAAACCTCTACTGAAGCATTGTTGTATTGAATGAATTAACTTCCATTTGATTATAATTTGCAGTATTCCTTATTTCTCCAAATTTAGTTCATTAGATATTTTTAAACAGCTCAGATTGTTTTTTAAAAAAAGGACAAGCAAAAAATTTTAAAAACTTGCAAAAGAACAAGAAGTAGGTAATGGGTAAAAAGTTGATCCAAAGGATGAGTCATCTTGTTTTCCTGTTAGCCAAATGAAATTCAGAACCATCCTGTTTATTAAGGGCATTAAGCACAACAAAAAGCCATAAAACAAACAACAGACTTTAAACCAAACAGGATAGATATGCACAATTAAGTTTCATGAAGTATGGTTTTAAAAAGCGCACTGCAGTTTTGCTTTGTGTTCCCTTTAGATGAACATCTCCAATGCTGATACACAATATTATGCTGCCCCAAGCAATCAACAGTGACAGGAAAAAAAGGATGTTCTCAGTGGAATCCAAGCAAGTCGTCGGTTGTACTGAAGATAGGAGACTCAGTACAGAGGTAGCTCAGTAAGGGTAGCTGCAGTGTTCTACATAGCATCAACACAACCGTGCTCATCGTATGCTTGAACCCTTCCTTCAGATTACAACAATAACAACAAGACTATCACTTGTTGGAAATGTTGTTTTGCCATTCAAAACTAACAGAAGGAGACACTGACGCTTAATTCCTTACATATTCTGGAAGTTTGGGTTGATAGAAATAGAATAAAAAGAAGCCATCCTGAGTCTGGACTCTGCTGCAAGCACAGACAAAGGGAATTTTAGTGCTCAAGGAGCCCATTTCTGATTAGCGTGTTAAAGAAATGGCCCAAGAACACGCATGTTACTCTCTCCAGTTAAGCACCCAGGTTGGCCTGTTGGTGGATCAGACTATGGCATCAAGAGATTCAATGATCACAGCTGTGAGCTCGCTGGCCTTTGTATCTCTGGCTACGGAGAAGAGAGCACAGCCCTGGAGGATGCTGGGAGCGGACAGAGGGCAGAGTTTGACTCCTGTCCAAGGAATGAAAAGAAATCAGCTTGTGACCACATCACATACCTTCGTTATGTGGTTTCTTTATTGCTGACAACAACTTTGAATGAAGGTGACGCTGCCGGCTCCTAACAGTTTCTCAGAGAAACGGTAACAGAACAGTCTTGCACTAACTGACCGTCAGGAAAAGCACCCAGGACGGGTGTCCGATTGCTTTCCTGCTGTTCACAGCAGTGACAGGCTGGATAAAACAGTAGATAGATCAACCACTTCTTTTTCCACTAAGGAAAAAAGGTACGTATTTAACGTACCTATCCTAATAAAAAAAGACCTTTCGCTTGTGCAAATGTCTACAGCCTTATCAGAGCTACATCTGCTCAAGATCTGCTCAGCTGCACCATTAACTGCGATGTTAACCCTGACACACGTGACGCTTCTGCACTCACATCGATCTCCGTTTGACCTATTTCTTCCCTTCCTTTTAATGTTGTAATGTACAATTGCCAGCACAGTTTTTGCAGATGGGTACCCCTCAGAGCCCAGTGTAGACAGTCTTCTGAAATCTTAATCTCCCAGACAAGATGCAGAGCTGGCCAGGTGCTTAAAATACATGCCCACGTTCCTTTCTCTTCAATTTTCCTCTTAGAAGTGATATTTAGTATGCGTTTTAAGCAGCTTTTTTAATAAAGTAACATTTTATTCTGAAAAAACTTGTGATGGATTGTCAAATTAGCTACGATCCTGTTCCTGTTACAGTAAGGATTCTTCTGATTAGAAAAAAAAAAAGTAATTGTCAACTCTTGTCCTCACAAGCTATTGTTCATTACCTATGCAGCAAAGAAGAAAACAAAGCTCAGCTTACTACAATAGAGACTCTGCTTCAATATTAGCATCCTAAATTCTGTCACTGCAGATCCCCGTGCATTGCACCAAGGGAAGGAAAAAAAAAATAGAAAAAGAAAAATCTGCGTTCTTTAGGGCTAAATTATAGAAAAAAAATCTAGCTGCAAGCACAAATACTTCACTCATAACCCAAGCACCAGATCAGTTCTTTGAAGAAGCTTATGAGGCATTTAAGATATACAATGGCACAATATCATACAATGGAATTGAAAGAATTTTCTTGAGAAACCATTAACTTTGAAGGAATGTCTAGACAACTGTGTCAACAAATGCAAATAATTCATGCTTCTCAGCTTCTATCCAATGGATGGCCCCATGCTGAGTATACACAAACTCAGAAGAAAAAGGCATGTCACAGTCATATGACTAGAGAGTGTAACAGAATCACACAGAAATTCAAGTCAGCCTTGAAAAAACCCTTCAGAAAGCTCTTCTCCAGGCTAAGCCAGCAGTGGGATAGGCTACCGGTCATTTTGGCTACTTACAGCTGGTGCACCCTGGCTTCAAAGCAGGGGCAATGGAAAAAACACAGCTGTTATTCATGACCTCTTCATTTCATTCTATTAGAAAAATAAAAACTAAAGGACTTCAAAATACTGTACAAACCTTTTGCAGTAGCCAACAAAGGGGCTTCTGGAATCAATGCTTTTGCCAAAAATGCATTGTAAGGCACTTAAAGGGTATCTTTTTTTTTTTTATATATATATGTATATATAAAAATAAAATATGCACTGTTGCAACATTCACAAATACCCAGTTGTCTCAATCATCTGTGTGTACAGTATGGTACATATATACATTCACTGTGACACCGGCCGTCTCCATCTCCATCATTATACTTTCACGGGTACTTTGGGTTGCCTGGTTAACTTCAGTGCCTGTGAACACAAAAAACAAAAGCAGTCACTTTCTTACATTCTCAAAAGACTGACAGCACAAGACAAACTTTTTATTAAGGGGTGACAAAATGCTCTGGGTTCTTCTGGGATGCTGAGTGAGGTATCAGCACGCAACTGACAAGCCACTGGCTTTCATGTTATCTTCGCATCTCTGGTAGCCCATCACAACAGACAGCCTTAAGAAAGGAAACGACAGAATCCGGCCAGACAGCCAGCAAAGGAAGCTGGCATGGATTTCAGATGTCTTTTACAAAGCAACTGCTGGGGTCGCATTGAAGAAATCACCCGTGGCACAGATTAAAAAATGCTTCTGAGTTACTCAGGGAAAGACAGTGAAGAAAACTTCTGCAAACACCTTTGTATTCTCAGGTCTTCTTTTCACATGGCTCAAAGCACACCCATAGCCTAGTCACTGCTGCAGTGATGGATGTCACGCATTTTGGACGTTACCTTCACTTATGAGGAAAGGTAACAACAAGCCATGCCCATCCTCCCAGAGATGGAGACCTTATCCCAAGTGATACCTGACATCACATTTGTTTGCAGTGGCTGCAGCATTAGTGTGCTTTTACCAAACATCTTTACAAGGAGAGAAAATCCACGGAGAAACCTTTAAGCGCAGAAGGGTCAGTCAGTTTCAGCAGGTAAACTATGCAGGGTGAGGTTCAACTGGAATGACAGGTGGTCATCCTCCCACTGTGGCAGGATGCCCCCCCACTGACTTAGAAGGTAAGTGTGACAGGCTTAAAAGACATGAGGTTTTCAGCTGCTCCTGTATACACTTGTGGGCACAGTGAAGGATACGCCTGCTTTTGGTGTGCTGCACAATAAAATAAAGCTCGGTGCTTTTCTGTGGCCTGAGCAAGAAGGAAGTTCATGAAATTTGGAACCAGTGTTTTCCGTGCCCTCCTGGGGGAAGTGCCCTGACAGACTGGCATTTGCTTGAAAGACTTACCATTTCTGAGAGCTGGCTAAACAAGCAAAATTCAGTCTGAGAGATAAGTGTGACGGGTCTTCCTATTGCAAATATTAACCTTTAATATTGTACATTTAAAGCTTGTTTGCACTGCTCAAAAATCATTCTAGCACAAATATAAACCCTTCAAAAAAACCCAATCCTTTAAAAATGAATAGGCTTTATTCCCCTCAGAAACACCAGCTTTCAGGAACACCAGCATTTAACTATTGTTAAATCTAGCCATTTGAGATTAGTGTTTTGGATATTACTCATCAAGAGACTCGGGAGAGATATCAGTTCACATTTTCTTTGGGAAAACAATTTTAAACTTTGTAGTTTGGCAGATTCTGCTGCCATATTTACAAACTAGAAATACTTCAGTGTAGATGAACCTCTAAATATTTAAATTCAATTTCATACAACCAGATCACATGTACTATCATAATTAAGTAAGAATGTCACTGCAGTTGAGTACTGTGACTGGATAACCACCTCCCCCTGCAAGAGATGCCAAAATGAAGCCAAGGTGTTTATAGAAAATAAACATCAAGGGTGATGATGACATGTTTATTTTCAAAGCAGAAGACCATTATCCAGTCACAATATTCGCTTCTATTATTGCACCCGTACCAGACCCAAACCTCATTGATTTTCTTATGAGAGTAATTAAAATAACATTTGTGAATAATAGAGAAGGCCAACTGAAGGAACTGCTGCAAGAGAACAACAATTCCCCAAAGTGGTTCTATGGTAGCATTGCAGTCTGATTAGCACAGAAGGTTTATTTGAAGCTTAATGAATAAGAAACTAGTGCTGGTGAACTGTAAATCTCGGCTGTACTGGTTGACTTTTCTGATGCCCTGTTTAAAGGCTGTGTTAACTTGCAACAACTGACAGCAGCCCCTACAGGCCCTCACCACCCCGAGTGTCGGGGAGGTCTGGATGAGCTCCAGCCAACTGCAGGTCTTGGCAGCAGGGAGCAGTCAGACAACGAAGAGAAACCTGCATTGCAGGGATTGTTTCCGTCACTGGCAGTGTGTGACTATCAGTTCTAACAGGCTATCGTTCTTCAGGTGAGGCACACTGTTTTCTTTATGCAATCTGACCCATGATTATTTCTGATAATTAAAAACGAATATCATTGCTGTAGACAGCTGGAATTTCTGAAATTATGTATGATTTGCAAATTTCCATTTGTGAACGCTAAGGTAAATGCAGCTTCATGAGACCTGATTTCTGGACTCACTGCTGGAGAACTGGGAGCTTTCCTTCTTTTTATAGTTCAGATAATCATAAACGGAGCAACACGAAGTGACTACGTTAGTATCTAGCATGCAAATTATCAAAGTAATTTTGCTGAAGTAGTAAAAAGCTGGTCTGTTGAATTGTGCTGAAAATTGGTAACACTGAAGATAAAAATAACCTCCACTGCAGAAGTGAAGAATGAGGAGTACTGGTGGAGCTGAGCCTTGGACAGTATGACTCAACCTTCACCTAGCACGACCCTCTAAAACTACTTCAGTTGTCACAGCTTCTTGATCCTTATCATCTCGGAACATTAGAGACAGAACTACAATCAGTGGCAAAGAATAGCCAGCTGTGCGGTGGTTATTACTGTTCTGAGAACATGACCGAAACCACTGCAATTCCATGTACGTCACAGAACGGCTCTCATATGTGAACAGCTTCAATCAGCACTGAAATAAATGCAACTCGAATCGCAGAATCATAGAATTGTTCTGGTTGGAGAAGATCTTAAAGATCATCAAGTCCAACCACAACCTAACCATACTACCCTAACTCTAACAACCCTCTGCTAAGTCGTGTCCTCAAGCACGACATCCAAACGGCTTTTCAGCACATTCGGGGATGGTGGCTCAGTGATGCCAATCCAAAAATGTCTAGGTTAGTCTACAATCCTGTGGCTATTCCACATTTTTTACATGAAACGCAATGCACCAAACTTCTGTAGACTTCTGTCTACTATAAAGAGTGACCTAGGTAAAAAACTACACAAACAACACAAAGAAACAACCTGCCCCCCCAAAAAACCCACAACCAATACAAAACATTTTCATGTTTTTTCAACACAGTTCCCAAAGGGCCTTCATTTCAGCTGATTCCTGAAGCTCTCATGCCAGTAGAGTTCACACCTCCACAAGAGGGATGCAAGGCAGTCATTACTATCCAAAGACTAAACCATTTTTACTGGCTGAAATTTCAGTTCATAGTTTGAATTCTCACTGCAGTGAAATGTACAAGCTGTGGAGGTCTAACTTCTGCATTCGGACTTTTATGAAGATAAGGAGCATCAAGTTCAACCTTTTTAACATGTTCCTAATGTGACTATCACTGTCGAAAATCCCTTCCATGAGATCCACAAGAATGAACCCGAGAAGTTTAAGACTTGCGTTCAGGTATTTTTTCCTCATAGCTGACTTTCCCTTATAAATTTGAAGGGAAAAAAAAAAAAAAAAAAAAAAAGGGGCAATTCTTACCTTTTGCCTAGAAACCATCCAAGATTTTATTGTTGGTACCAAAAGACTGCCAAGAAGAATCTGAGCAGGATGATAGATGAGTAAGGGGACAGAAATTAAGGATAAGTGCTCATAACCTGCAAATACTATCTTCAGCATTGGAATTCCTGCAAGCAGAAAAACAGGAGATGGACTCTTAAAAGAATCAAAGAGAAAAGCAAAGGATTTTATGTTGCACTGTAACTTAACTCCCCCTCCCCCCCAAAAGAAAAAAAATACATAAAAGAACCCCAAAGCCAAAATGAAGTTTTACATAGAAAATTAAAAACAAAAACAAAAAACAAAAAAAAGAACCATTGAAAACGAACCTGGAAGAAAATGAACAACACCACCACATAAATGGCTGCATAAGTTCTGTGCCAGAAAGGAAGTAGGGGAATGCCACAAAATATTTTCCCTAATGATGCTGACAGCTGCAAACTCCTGCTGATGTGAAATATTTGTGTCACAGTGTGAACGTTCAGTTCCTGGGCATATCTCCGCACTGTTTATTTACTCCTTCCCCTTGCTATGCTGTTTTACATTTTTGTGATTGTCCCCCATCCAGAGGATCGCCCAGCTCCTGCTTCTTCACTCCACTCACTACCAGAGGAGGGATTCCTGGTATAGTCTTCGCCATTAAGTGCTCAAATTACTGACTTCCTTGCTTAAACTGATTTTCACAAAGTGGAGTCAGGAACCGTGCAGGTAAGTGCTCACGTGTTAGAGAACAAACCTCTGCTCTAAGCTTATGTTTCAGAAAAGAGAGCGCGAGAAAGAAAAGATTCAGTGAACTGAGTGAGCAATATGAATAGTCATTCCTACGAGCAATCAGGGAGCAGGTGGAGTTACAGAAGTTGTTAGCTGCTGGAGGAGGTGAGTTTTAAGAGCTAGACATCGGCCATTTTCCCAAAGAGATTGAATTTGTACTCAATTGCGCTAATTCTATGAGACATCCACATGTAACCTTCCCACTTGATGAATTAATATGTAAGATTACATTTGATTTAGTTTTGTGGTAATGAAACTGATTATACTGACTTTGAACATGTTATTATTGAAAACGATCTGCTGAAATCCTGCGGTTTTGTTACCATGCTCCAGAAAGCATGGGTGCAGGCAATACTTGCAGCCATCTCATCTCATTTGACCAGACATTCAGATAGATGCAGGCAAGATCGGCTGCTATTCCTTGGGAACCCCCTTTCTCCCTGGTTAAAAACGTCACTCTAGGAATCTTCTACCAGCATCAACTTTGCAACAAACAAGTCTAAGCAAGAGTTTTGACAGAGCTTACTTAAGAGTCCTCTTTCTTAGCAGTGACAACAAGCTGAGCTTTGTGGCGCATGCCCCTCCATTCCCTCACTAGTAGAAGACTTCTATCAACCACAGTTGCCATATTTACATACATCTCTACCTATCTTGAACAAATTCTTGTTTTCAAGACCCTTCCAGACTTCCCTTAATAAAAGCAGGCTCCTTCCTCTATGAGCAAACATAGTTTGTTGATAATGAGCCACCAGTGGCCCATTACTGTTCACATACATCTAGGCTTGCTCAAACCTGCACAGTTTCCACAGCACAATTTCTTGTATATATTTTAACTAGTTCCATCATATTAAGCTATTAACAACTTCATCCCCATACTAGTAGATTTGTCCTAGGGGGCTATTTCCAGCAAAAGACTGAATCAAATTAAGGCTTGCACGCTTAACTCAGTATTAATAAGTTATTACCCTTAAAACAGTATTGTGGACCTACCACCAACGCAACAGAACTGCTTAGTATTAACACTGATCTCTAGTGTTTGGGATTAGACAGTATTTGGACAGAAACTAAATGGGCATTTGCACTGTATTATGGAGCGTAATTTGCTTCAAATGCCCACCACAGTGTTTTTGTAAACAGATAATGATTTTATTACATGTTTCCAAGTCTCTATTACACCTTCGTGGCTCTTTTTCTCTTCTCTAACAGCAGAAAAAAATAAACTATGTTGCTATATTTATGTTCATATGACAGCACCTGGTGTTTTGGTAGTGCAGTTTCATCCGCGGATCTCACAACACTTCAGTAAGCTGAACAGGACTCCTACAGAGAATCTGAGAGCTCGAAGATGACTAACCTGGGATTGCACAGAAAACTAACGGTGGAGACACGAACAGAATGGGTCCAAAGTGACTGAGATTCTTTATATTACTGTATGCTTTCTGAATGGAAAATAAGAGAAATTCTAGACCAAAAGGTAAACTCTCTACAGGAAAGCTGTTTCAGTAAACTATGAAAAGAAAATTGAAGCAATCAAATAGAGATACAAGATACCGTAGTTAGCGTGACAATGTAATTAGACTGCAGGGTGGAAAGAGATGCTTAATTCACAGCTCATTTCAATACACGTCAAAACAATAGCCTCATGCAAGCCAGTAACGTGCAATTAAAGTTCCTGCTATTTACTAGGAAAAACTAACAGGTGAAAAGAGAAAGCAATTACTTTCACACGCACACCCTTGTTTAAAACAAAGAAAAAGCCCTGCTGCCTTTTTACAAACTTCCTGACTTTCGCAATTCCAACCATGCCAGTATGCAGCTCTCTCCAAAAGTGTTTGATGACAGAGATCCATAGACTACAGTCACAGATGATTACATCAGGAGCAGTGCCACAAAGCTAGACAAAACAGCACGGGATTTTACTTGTTTTTAAAAATGTTCTTTAAACTTCTGTATCCCACTGCATAGCAACGGCAAGCATCGGTACGACAGCTGTTTCCCAAAGGCATAAAACTGATACAAGGCTCTACATAAGAAAATATATTTTACAAGCTATTACTCCCTCTCTTAAGAAGAGAAGAAATTGGGTGTGGGAGTTTGTTTTTCTAAAATAAACCATCTGCTCCCCAAAACAAAAGCAACAACAAAATGAAAAACAAATCTCAGCCGAAGGAAAAAAAGAGACATTGCAATAACCGGGCTGATGCTGTATGCTAAATCCCTGCACAGAATGCTTTTTCAAGATGAGGTTATGAACTAGTGTTAAGAGAAGCTATAACAGAAACACTGAAACAGTAGTGACATAAACAGATGCTGCTATAAGAAAACTAATAAAATGAGTTTAAATCTTTCAGATGGATAGCAAGGAATAAAGGTGCTAAGCAAAATAAAACTTCTATTTATTTTGTCCATTCTTCTTTTCCTCACCATTTATAGCCTATTGTTCCTAATGTTAATGAAGTATGATGGCTCTGCTTAGTAGACCATATGAAAATTTTGCACAGGATCAAATCACTTGTAGTAATGAAGCCACTAGCACAGTTGTAATTCTCTTCAGTTTCCTCAAAGAACACAGCAGCTGCACCCTGTGAGCCCCTAACGTTACCGGGGCATTTTTTCACAGAATTGATTGCTAAGGCTACATTCAGTTGTGTGAAGAACGATATGTGAAAGGATTTGTTGTTCTGCTTTCACAGAGCCATTACAATCACGCTTACCAGCAGTTCAAGACTGGCTTCGATTCAAGTGCAAAGTCTTCCACCTGGGTTGTGACAACCCCTGCTATCAGAATAAACTGGGGGACGTAAGAATAGAGCAAAGCCCTGCTGAAAAAGATCTGGGGATACTGGTGGATGGCAAGCCGGACTTGACCAACAACGTGCCCTTACAGCCCAGAAAGCCAACTGTACCTTGGGCTGCATCAAAAGCAGCATGGCCAGTAGGTGGAGGGAAGGTGATCCTGCCCCTCTACGTTGTGCTGGTGAGGCTGCACCTGGAGCACTGCATCCAGACGTGGAGTCCTCAGCACAGGAGAGACGTGGACCTGTTTGAGTGCGTCCAGAGGAGAACCACAAAAATGATGCAAGGGGTGAACCACCCTCCCTACGAGGACAGACCGAGACAGCTGGGGCTGTTCAGCCTGGAGAAGAGAAAGCTTAGGAAAGACCTGAGAGAGGCCCGTTATTATCTGAAGAGGAGCTACAAAATGGAAAGGTACAAATTATTTAGCAGGGTGTTGTGACAGGACAACGGGAAAGGGTTTCGAAGCAAAAGAGGGTCGATTTAGGCTGGACATAAGACTTTTTCTTTACTACAAGGGCAATGAAGCACTAAAACAGGTTTTCCAGAGACGTGGTGGAACCCCTGTCCTCGGAGACATTCTAGGTAAGGCTGGATGGGGCTCTAAGCAACCTGGTCTAGATGCAAATACCTCTGTTCATTGCAGGGGAGCTGGACTAAATGGCCTTCAACGGTCTCTTCCAACTCAAAAGAGAGTATGATTCATCCTGACTGACAATGAAGGAAGAACATGGGAATTGACAGAAAGATTCTATTACAAGCTGAGAAATTTTTAAATTGCTGTGGCAGTCCGAAGGTTCTGACATAAACATCAACTCACGTCGCTGCAGTTTATGATGTTTCAGGCTCCTAGCAGCTAGGTTCGGCTCCTCAGCTAAAGATCAACACTCACTACAGATGACACAAGGAAAAAGTGGAAATATGGTACTCAGCTGAGTGCGGAAACAGTACTTCACCTGACCAGGAGCACAAAGAGGAACAGCAGCAGTGGAATGCACTGAGATCATTCCATAGACATCCCTTACAAGTAAGATGACAAATATTCTTAGCATTTTATTCTGAACTTGCCTCTTCTCCTTCGCTCAGCTTTGTTCTCCTATCACTCAATGTTCTCCCATCTTCCTCCTTGCTTTTGGGGTTCCAGTACTCAAAGGATACACTTTTTCTTCTCCATGCTAATTTTTTTCTTCTCTTCTTACTTCTCCACTTCCATGCTTCTGGGCATTTTTTGTTTGCTTCCCAATGCCTTCAATACTGCTCTCACTTGCAGCACCACAAAATGTGCCACAAAACGTACATCCGCTCATATCATTGAACTGCCAGCAGGGCCACAGCGACAAAGAGAAGGAAATCTGCCTGAGGTACGGAGTGCTATTCACTTCTCTTCCTGTTTGCACCCTCATCCAGCCCATTCCACGCAAGAACTACACGTGAACCTGAAGAACTGCTAACAAAGAGAAGCTGCTGAACTTTCATCTATGACCTTCCACAGCAACAAGGAGTGAGAAAACCACTCTGGTCTTCCGGTATGGGAAAGCCCTGGTTGCTCTCCATTGCTCTA